GTGACTATGGCCACAAATTAAATAGCATCTATCATTGTAGTGTCTCAGAGTGCTCTGCACCACCAGAGAGCGAAGAAACCATATGGAGCTGACTGAGGGGTACGCAGCCTTTGCTCTGTCTGAGCTTTCTAGAAATGATGGGCCAAGGAAATCAAGCACAGAGCAGCACTGTGGGGCTGACTGACTGCCTGGGGCTAGGGACAGCTCAGGGCAGGCTATCCCTAAGCCTTGTCACTCTCCACAAGGTTCACAACACAGACACCCACAGCCCTCCCCACTCATGCCACCTCTCACTCATGGCATTTTCCTCATTCATGCTGACATCTACTAAAGAATTTGGAAAATATTTTTGGTTACTGTTTTTAAGTGAGGAAGAGTTAAGTGAATTTTGGCATGTGATTATGGATAGTTTCGGTAAGAGTTACCCAGAGTTTCCAATCCAGTCAGGTGCAATGAGAAGGGAGGCCTCTGAAAGCAGTTCAGCAGCATGCCAGAGAGTAGCAAGATGTTATTAACAGCATGTGTATTTAACACAGCTTGAAATTCATAAACAGTGATACTGACAGCTCAGCTGTGCTGCTTCATGGCATTCCATTCATAACAGGGGATTTTTACCATTTGTACTGTCATCAGAGTTGGTTGGGACCTTTTGGGTGAAACACTTGATTTGAAAAATCCGTTCCTCTTTGCAATATGTGGTTGTGGAATCACAGAACAGTTTGTGTTGGAAGTGGCATTCAAAGCTCCTGTCATTCCAGCCCCCTTCCATGGGCAGGGAGATGCTGCACTAGACCAAAGTTGCTCACAGCCTGTCCAACCTCGACTTGAACACTTCCAGTGATGGGGCATCCACAACTTCTCTGGGAAATTTGTGTCTCATTTAATATGTCAGGATGTTTCTCAGGTCAATGCAGGAAGCAAAGCTCAAAGCAAAGCCCACCATAAGGAGAAGAGGGAGGACATCTCTCTTGGTTTGGGTTAGAGAACCAAGCCTTTTAGTTCTTGTTTGCAGACAAAGTGCCTGCTAACTGATCCTCCTTCTATTCTACTCTCTGTTTGGTTCTGGCTTTCTGCCAGGCCCTCTGTCTTTTCTTTCTTCATTTATTTCTTTGAGTTATGTTTCTCTCTTAAGATTTTCCAGGGGTTATGCTTTTATTCCACATGAAAACAACACAGATGCCACAGTATTCCTCAAAGAATGCAACTCCTGTTTGCTGGGTAGCCCAAGTTATCATGGAAATTATTGGTTTCCTTAATCATTTATTGTACTCATCCAGAAATACAAGCTTGCCCTGTTCAATCTGAAACACTATGTACAGAAAGGAGAAAATTCCACACAGTACCACAAACATAATTCTTGTAAGAAGATGGTATGTTAATTAATAAAGTCTGAGAGCCACTGGTTTAACATATTAATGCATTTGTTATGCAGAGAGAGATTAAAAGATATATTTCCTTATTAGGTTTTTGAATGTCTGAAGCTTTATTGTAGTTATGTTCTATTTCATGTCTTTCTTACAAGTTTCTGATAGTATAATTGTGTTAGATAATTAGTTCAGCAAAGAGAAATAGAGTGTTATAGGCCAGAACTTGAAACAGGCAGGACAGCGGGGGAGGTAGACCCTGGAAGAGAGATCCTTTTATAACTGAGGACCTGTAGAGACTGGGCTTTGCTTAGGAACAACAGCAGGAGCAACACAGTGGGTCAGAAAAGCCAGGTGAAAGAACTTGTGTTTTTTACCAAAGGGTTATGAACATGAGGGCCCTGCTGAACTGGACTAGGTGTGTGAATCAGATGTGGCAGTGGGCTCTATGGCTGCATGTTTTCACTAATGCAAGGAGGGGAGAAGCTGCCTTTTTTGCAGGCTGCTGTGAGAATAGTGGAGAAAATCTGTCTTGGGCTGATCCCGCCCTTTCAGTGGGTTGAAGAACCATTTTGAAGTGCCTCCAGAGAATGCATACAGAAATGTCATCTTGGACCTGCAAAACCTCTGAGCTACTGCCAACTCAGCTGGGTGCTGCTCTAGGCCTGGTGGAACCAGAGCTATCTCATCCCCCAAAGGGGACATGGCATTTCATGGAGATGAGCACATCAGGAGGCATTTGCCCACTCTGATATGGCCTCTGATAGCCCTAAGCAGCAGGGCTGGTTGAACCACCCCTTGGGCAGAAGCCAGCCTGTGGGTTGCAGGCTGGACCACAGAGAAGTTGTTAGTCAAAGCAAGTGAGATAAAGGGAAGGTGGGATTGCAGTGCCTTTGGCAAACAGTCATGCCTAACTGGAGTGGGACAGCCTGGCTCTGCCCAGGGCCAGGCTGACAGTGCTTCCAACAAGTCATAGAAAAAAATGGGGCTCCTGGAGCTGCATGGGCGACTTGAGCACTCACCTTACATTAAAACTGACTGCTGGGTCCACTGGCGCTGTTCACTGTGTGAACCGTAAGTGTCTTTAAATGAGAGGTACCTGCAGAAGCCTGAATGAGAACACAAATTCATGTCTTGGGATATTGTCCTGCTATTCCTTCTGCACAGTCTCAGGGCCTGGACTAGAGAGATGTCACCTCAGAAAACCTTCAAGGGAGGAAAAAAAAGGATAGAGCTTCATTACACTTTATATTTTGCATTACTATAGAAGTTGAAAACTCCAGTTTCATGTCAAAAAGAGACAAAGAATAAAAGTCAGTAATTTCCAGTGAGTTTCCTGTGAGTCAGGAGAGCCTGGGGCTCTGACCTGCTCCAGTGTACAGCTGGGGCAGAAGCCTTCAATGGGGCAGTAACCACACTGAGACTGAGCAGTGGGCATTTGATGAGAGTTTCAAGAGCTGGAACTCTCTGTGACTGCACATAGGCTGCACGTAGAGGATTCACTCCCAAAACTTCTCTACTTATTTTTTAGCTGATTTAGGGACTGCCTGAAGCCACCTTGTAGCTTTCCTCTAAGTTTCATGCAAAAGGCTAAGAAAAACAGCTTTATTCTTACCTAAACTGAGTTTTTTCACTGCCCTACCTACAGAAGTTATGTACTCTGTACTTTGTAACCCACTGAGCTTCTCTACATCTGTTTTACCTGCTGTTAAGAGAATTCAGAAGCCAGAATAAAGCCCAGAATAATTATACTTTATTCTGACACATGTACAAAAGTTTGGGGATAAGAATATAAACTTTTTTACAGATTCTTTCTGAATGCATCAGGAAGAATCAAGGGCCAGATTCTGCCCCAAGTCCCTGCAAGTGTATACTGGTGTAACTTCTTAAAATCAGCAAAATTACTCTGCACTCACACAGTGTCAGATTAAAAGCTATGAAATCAAAACCAAACCCCATGAAATTTAATTTTGCAGTGTTCACAGCAAGTCATAAACCCTCTGTGGTTACTTAGGAATGGTTTTCTGTCTCAGGGAAAAAAATAAAAGAGAGAAGCAGTATTAAATCTGACCCTAAGGCCCTGCAAAGTTAGATGCTAATGCTTCCATCTTATTGAGAAGACAGCAAACTCCTCTTACCAGTGGCACCATGCTATTATTTCCTAAGTTAAAAGATTCTGCTTCTTAAATTCCTTGCTGGTTCAAGATCACTTACTGAGTCCTAATAACTGTAGGTCCAAGATAAGCTTTACTTGGAGAGAAATTTGTCTGTGGAGAAAGAAAGAGAAGACATTTCCTGAACCTAGCATCTGTTGGCATCTACAGAGCAGTTTGATGCATTAGAGTTAGGCCCCTGGGAGAAGGAGTAACAGTGTGCTTCTATTTTTGCATGAAATCAGGCTCGGCAGAGGGCATGATGATGCATGAGTATCAGTGTGTATCTGCTTTCTCACTGTCATTTCCTCACTTAGGCGAGAGGCAGGGGATGGCAGTAACCAAAGGGATGCAAACAGCCCTCCTCATTACCGACTAGGGCAGTGGGGATCTTTCTTCCTGCACTCTCTACAGACACACAGCTGCCAGCCAGCGGTGTAACTCATGCTGCCGCTGCTCTTTGCAGGGACACGACTCTGCTGGAGCTGCTTGGCTCCATTTGGCATTTTTCTTTATAGCTGAACACTGCATGACAATGCAGCTGATTCACTGCACCAGGCTGGGGTAAGGACTGCAATTGTGCCCTCTCAGGGGATGAAGTGGGAGTACAGGAGTGTGAACCCAGCTCTGCTCCCAGCCTGACTTTTGGGACTTGAAAGAGGGGGGTGTGCTGTTTTAAATATTCACTTATACACCCTTAGCTTCAGCACTGAAGCTTGCAAGTATTTTAGGTCAGAGCTGGTGTAACCAGCCTGAAGCAATGCTGCATCGTGCAGTAATCTTGACAATTTTTTCAACTAAATGTGCTTGAATCTAGTCATTTTCCTGATGGCTCATCTCCAGGAAAATGGTGTCGATCATTTGGTAGGTTTCGGGGTTGGATGTGAGTCAGCTCTGAGTCAGGCAGCAGCTTTAGCTTCGTGAAGTGCTGGTCCTCCTGTACTGGCACAACCTGTGGGGCCGCAGCTCTGTGACAGACACTGCTCCTGAGCCTCCCCAACAGCAGCATGTGGGAGCTTAAGCATGGGGCACTTGCAAAGCAAAGGGGCAATTCCACAGCCCCACATTTTAGGCTGTTCACCTGCTCAGCACTCTTGACCTCTGAAGACGGCAGGGTGTGTAAATGATGCTGGTGGCAGGCAGGGAGAAGGAGATGGGGACCTGTCTTGCTCCCCGCAGAGGTGCCCATCTGACCAGGGTGCGGGCAAAGCGTGTCACTGCTGCACAAACAACTTCCCTCCCCAGAGCCAGAAGGAAGCAAGGAAAGAGCTTTGACCAGAGTCCTCTGTCCCTAGCAGGGTGTTTCTGTTTATATTGACATTTTATTAAGTAGGGTGGTGTCCCAGTTCTCAGGGAGTCGAGAGAAAAGCCAGACACAGCCTTGATGGCAAGCAGCCACTGTGTGTGTTGTGCAAAGCAGCGTGACTGACGGGTTCCTCGCTCTCTCTTTGTCTTTCTCTCCCCTTGCACGGTGTGATTGAAGCAACGCCCCGTGAAACAGTCCCTGAGCGCTTGCATGTGCCGAGAGTCCCACTGGAAATGCCTCCTCCTCTCCATCCTCATGTATGGCTGCCTGGGTGCCGTGGCCTGGTGTCAGCTGGCCAGAGTCACCAAGCTCAGCTTTGATAGCTCCTTCAAGGGCAAGTCTATGATCTACCATGACAGCCCGTGCTCGGACGGCTATGTTTATATCCCGCTGGCCTTCCTCTCCATGCTGTACGTGGTGTACCTGGTGGAGTGCTGGCACTGCCACGTCAAGAGGGAGCTGCAGTACAAGGCAGACGTGGACAGTGTGTACGAGTGCATCAACCGCATGCAGCAAGCCACTCCGTGCATCTGGTGGAAGGCCATCAGCTACCACTTCGTACGGCGAACCCGGCAGGTGACCCGGTACCGCAACGGCGATGCCTACACCACCACGCAGGTCTACCACGAGAGGGTCAACACACACGTGGCTGAAGCTGAGTTTGACTACTCTCACTGTGGATACAAGGACATCTCCAAAGAGCTCCTGGGCTTGGAGAGCTATACAGCCACCAAGCTGAGGTTCACCAAGTGCTTCAGCTTTGCCAACACTGAGTCTGAGAACTCTTACCTGACTCAGAGAGCTCATTTCTTCACAGAGATCGAGGGGCTAGATGACTACATGGAGGTGAGGGAAGGCATGCAGCTCAAAAATGTGGATTTTAAAGAGCTTATGATGGCCTACGGAGACCCGGATCACCTCCCATGGTATGTGTCCCATTATGCTTTCTGGGTGGCAGCTATCCTGATGATCTCATGGCCGCTCAGGGTACTCATAGAGTATCAGACTGCATATGTCCATTACCACGTGGAGAAGCTGCTGGGCCTGGAGTACACGGCGCCCGTGGCGGTGGAGGAGCCCCTGTACCGGTACCGCATGCCCCGGGACAGCACGCAGGACAGCACCGAGCTGGAGTGGCACATCTGCACCAACCGGCAGCTGATCCCCAGTTACTCGGAGGCCATGCTCATGGACCTGGCCAGCTCCCCGGCCTACAACAGCTACACGGTGTGTCGCTACGGCCAGACGGCCCACGGCTGTGAGCGCTGCAACCGCGCCTCCAGCACCTCCTCCATCTTCTCACGCCACGCTTTCCACAGCTGCAGCGGCAACTCCCGCCTCTCCCTCAACACCAGCCGCTTCTCCCTCTGCCGCGTCCATGGCTCCCACAGGACAGGCCTCTGGAGGAGCCGCAGCAGCAGCATTGCAGAGCGGGGCTGCCAGGACGAGCAGTGCTGCTCCTACTCCAGCCAGCTGGCTGTCAACGAGAACCCCCCCACCTACCACGATGCCCGCTTCTTCCCTGTCCTGATTGTGCACAGGCCGGAGGGGCAGGACAGGCGGCATTTCTATGTCAGGCGCTCCTCCTGTCTAGAAACCTCTCTGTGACAGAACTCTGTGGTCACTTGGCTCCTCTGCTCTGGGACAGGGATTGCAGAGATGACACCCGTGGGGAGCCTGCAAGTGTCAGTCTCTACAGCAGGTCAGCAGGACAAGTTTCAGCTCTTCCCCCTGCCATTGAAAGAGGACATAGAGACTCTGACCAACACCTAACCTCATTTCCAAGATTTTCTCCCCCTCCACCTGGTCTCCCATGTCTTCATTCTCCATTCCTCTCACTCTTCCACTCCTTAGCCTTCCCTTCCTCTGCTCCTTGATTTCCTGCCTCTCCTCCCATCCCACCCTCATTCTTTTCTTTGCATTTCAGTCACAGCATTTGGTTGTTGTGGCTGCTGGAGGATTTTAAATGCTTGTGCTTTGCCAGTACATTTGCCCTCCTGGATGCTTTGCAAGGTAAGAACCTTAGATAAAGCAAGGCACAAGGCACACAGCCAGCCAGAGTCAAGTCAGAAGGAGAATTCAGATCTGCAGGTGCTGAGTCACCTCCTGCAAACCCCAAACGAGGTGCTTTTAAAAAAAATTATTTTCCCCAGTCTTTTTTTCCTCTTCTTTTGTCATTCCTTCTGTCCTTTATTCATGCTCTTCTCCTCTCTCTTTATCCTCATCTTCCATTTTTTTCAGTTCTTTCACTTCTGCTTTACAGTTCTTCTGGGGTTTTGCCAGTGAGGATATCTTTCGGGGTGTAATTATCTTCCATTGGGCAAAAGTAAGGTTTTCATGGCACAAATGTCACTGACTGCTCACACAGCCACAAATGAAGCCCCTGAGAAGTGCTGAGGGCTTCTTTCAGGAGCAGTGTTGTACACCGATATAGCAAAATGCCCTTTGCTCACACTGCCCTGCCTGGTCTGCAGCAGAGACGCTGCTGCATTTCCAGCTGTAGTTTACCTTGTCCAGCTCCACCCCTGATAGCAATCAGCGAGAGCCATAATGTAGATTAGTGCCCTGTTAGTGCCACTATTTTTAGGACAGTAGGCCTGGTTTGTGGTTGTTTCATTCCTTCGACTTGAGTGCAGCAGCACAGGCTTGACAAGGGGAGAGGGGCTGGAGAGGGAAAGGTAAATATGGTATTAACCCTCCCACAGAGAGTCTGGAGCTGTTAGGAAGCTCTTCCACCCACAGTGTCTATTACAGCAGTTGTAGGACTGCCTACATTACCTTTCAGCTTTCTGTGTGCCCTGAGGAGGGCTTTTGGTCTGCAGCCCACTTCACCTTCCCAGGTGAGATGTGGTGCCACCCCAGCCCCAGGCAGAGAGCACAGCTGAGAGCCAGCCCCACTGGCCACTCCTGCTGGGGCTCCAAGCTCTTCCTGCAAGGCTTCCCCTGCAGCAGGTGTAGCACCTTCCAGAACTAGTGCCAGCCTCTCCAAATCCACAAGGTGTCTGGTGCTGACAGAGTGTGTCACTGCACTCTGGGCTGTGGGCTCTGCCCCCTGGCCTGGCCCCCTCCAAGCCAGGGGCTGCTCTGAGAACCTTGTGGGCACACTGGGCACCCACCAGGGACCTCACACCTGCCAGAACTCCATCCCACAAGGGATGTTGTATGCCGAGCAAGCTCCATGCCCCTTTGTCACATGGCTGGTGGAGATTATTATCCACTCTGACTCACAGGAGAATGCAATACGATCGCAGTACATAGGTCACTTTCAAAACCAGTGTTGTCTCACCCTACCTTACAAGTAGGTAAGAAACTGAGCCCCCAGAGGGGCTGGCAACAAGTGCTTCCTCCCAAGTCCATTTTGTGTGTATCAACATGTAATATGAAATTTGTAAAGTCATATTGATATGTGTAGATTATATGTAACTCTGCATACTTATATGGTGATTTCTTACGGCATTGACTGTTGCACCATATTAAATACATTTTGGTTTTGTTTGATGACTCTGTTTTGATGTCCTGTGTTTATTTCAACTCCAGAAATGGAAACATTGGCAATACCTGGTTAACCTGCTGCAAATGATGGCACCATCAGAAAGGTTTTTAAAATTCTTATGAGTTGATCTTTTTTAATGTAAATACTTCATGTGTGATTTATGTGACATTTTCATTCTGACAGCTTGGCATTTATCACAAAAGACAGACAACACATATGATGTGTTAGTTTATCACTTCTAAAAAAAAAATAACCGTCCTAGACATGTGGAGGAACAATGTTTGGGCTTGGGATGATGATTATGATTGAGCTGGGGCCAAACTGGATAACCTTGAAACTTAGAGAAAAATCCAAATTTAGATCCACCAGTTTCCACCTAGTTTCCCTCATCTATACCATGCCACCTGCCACACCCAGGCAGAGCTGGGAGTTTGGGAACTAGAAAAGGATCAGGCCAGAACTCAAAGCTCAGACTCATACCTGATATCCTGGTATACTGAAGACAAAGTAAATGCAGATCTTTAATAGAGTTCCCTGTCCTTCTTTGTATTCACACGGAAAGTTAAAACCCGCACATATGAAAGATGTAAGAGCTGGACAAGGCTGAAACAGAGAGGCTGGAATATTTCAATACAGTTGCTTGGTGAAGAAGGTGGTTGAGAGGAAGACAAGAAAAGAGAAGGGAGGAGATGGTAGAATAATATAGATTCAAAGAGAACAGAGTTCAGCTGTATCTAAGAGAATTCCTAAATGAGCAGCATAACTCAGTTATGGCAAGCTTAGCCCAGACAGAGGCAGGATGAGTTTCAGCCTTCTTGTGAGCTGCTGTTGCTGCTGCAGCCACACGTGGCTTTAAATACCATACCCAAGGTCTTGGGATGGCCAGTTTTGTCCCACGTGTATGCCAAGATGAAGAGTTATATTTGGGGCCTCAGAAGTGGCCACGTTAAACACTATTATTATCTGACATGAACAATCCATTATGATGGGTTGGACAGAGAATGGAGATAGTTTATTCTCAGTTTAGTCCTTTCCAGTGACCTGAAATGCCATTGCATTATCCAGTAGCTCTCAAGCTGTGTCCTTGTCAAATTTTGGAAAGTCCTCAGGATTTGTGCTTCCTCAGTCACTGCATTCTGGGCCAACTTTGGGCCATTAATTTGAGAAGCCACCCCTAAGCTGCAAAAGCCCTCACACTCAGGGAGCTTTCTCCCATCACTTGCTGTAGCCTCTGGTGGTGACCAAAAAGCTGGGAGCAGCTCTTGTTCTAGCCTGGGACTAAATATGCTGGCTTCAACAGATCTCCCATTCAGGAAGCATCTGAATATCCATCCTGGGTCTACTACATTGTAGAGCAGAGCTACTCCTGTACTCCTGCAACCCTTGAATGCCACTTCATCCTTGTTCTTGCCATTGCCACGGCCTCCCGATGCAGGATGAGGGATCTGCCCCCTAGCAATGGAGGGGTTAATGCTGCTTTTCAAATCCCACCTCAGAGGATGGAGCAGACAAGTTCTTGAATCCCAGTGCAAACCAGGCAGCTCTATAGAAAACACCTTGTGTAAAAACACAAGGATTTTCTATCCAGTTGCAGACTGCCTACTTCGACAGTGGAGCAGTGGTATATGCCAGCAGCTTTTGTTGAACTTTTAGGGCTATGGCTTCTTATGTGGAAATGGGGATTTGCTTTCTCACTGGGATAGCCTATTCCAGATGTCCTGTTGGGTCTCAGTAGTTAGAAAAGGCTTAACAGTAGAAGAAGGTGAGGAAGTCCAGCAAATACTTCTCTTCCTTCTGCCTTCTCCCTCCCTCCCTCCCTAACCCCCTCCCTTTTGTCCTTTTTTCTCTTTTTCTTCATCATCAGAAGTCTCCCAGCACTGGGCATTCACCTCTGGATTATGGTATAATAATAATAGGTATTCAGGCATTTTCTGGAATATACTTACACTTCCCAGCGTGTCTGGTGAGATGTGGCAAAACACTGTTGCAGCAGAAGTAAGGAAAGAATGTAATCCAGAGAGCCAACAGCTGTGTTCTGTGTGTGTGAACAGTGAGCACTGTCACTGATGTTACAGCCTGAAGAATAAAGCCATGGTGCTAATTCAGTGCCACAAGAGGCCAAGAGAGTTTATTTTTCTCCAGTTCCTAAAAACATTTAAGATTCACCAGTTCCTTTGCTTTCTGCATGGTGATACTGCACTCCTCTGTGAGTTTTCCCACTGCAGTTTGCACTTCAACTGGCAGTGTGTGCAGAATTTCAGTCCAATTTTCATATGGCTCTTCCTGCCTATCACTGTTAACACAAAGTCCTTCTCAGAACAGCTGAAGTCAGATCTTTTGATGGGAAAAATCCTCCTTGGTCTACTGCTTCCAGCAAAGCTTTGCTCTCTTACACCAGCCCTGAATCTGGCCTGTGCCATGCTACAGCTGGAGCACTTCCTGAGCCCATGGGACCAGTGTAGTGTAAGCCTCTGTAATTGTAGGGCTGGAAGAAATCCTTAGAAGGAAAACACCATAGAAACATGTCATTATTCTAATGGCCTTTTTTTTTTTCCTCATGAAACAGCTAAGATCTGCAAAAGTAGCTACCTTCTGGAGGGTGCTATTGCCCTAAGTGCAGGAACAGACCATGTAGCTGGATGGATGCCTGGGGGAGAGGCAGCAGCGACAGCAAGTGTGCATGAAGCTTTTAGCGAGCACCAGCACAGAACCTCTCAGCCCAAGAGCTGCAGTGATCCCGGCGATTTCCTGTCCCCAGGTGCAACTAGACTTCCCACAAGCACTCGAATGGATGGCTTTGTCAGTGTCTCCTCCCAGCTACCTCATTGCAGCAGGAGGCACTGGGGAGGGAGTGACATTTCCATTCCAGTAATGAAATCTTCTTGGCATTGCTTCAGTCCCCGAGGAATTCCTATCAGAAATGCAAATTACTTGGGAGGGGGAGTGAAGATTAGAGTTTGGAATGGAATAATATGAGCTAGTTGTGCCTCAGTTTCTCCTTCCCCCTCCTGAGGATAGTGCAGATTCCCTGCGTTCCTCCATTTAGCCAGGTTTCCACAGCGTTTCGGGTGCTGCTGGGCAAGTGCTGCACGCTGATGGCTGTGGCAGAGCTGAGCGCTGCATCGAGTTGTAACGATATTGCTCCTTATGTCGCCTTTCAACCCAGATTCTCACCGTAACTCCTACGAAAAAGCAGCGCTAGATTTTTGAAAAAACTGTTTGTAAGTGACTTTTCCCACGCCGTTCCACTAACCCTGTGGCAGCAGAGATCTCCCTCCTGAGCTCTCTCCCTATTTTTCCGCTAGTGGAAAAATGGTCAAGGCCGAGCCGATCCTGCCTGAAGGGCACGGGTGGATCTCCTCACCTTGCCGGTGCTCCTCCACAGCTCAGCTGCCGGGATGGGGTGACCGACACCCGCGGAGAAAGGGGCCGAACGGTGAGGAGAGTGTGGCCGAAGCGAGGAGCTGGAGAGGGCCGGCCGAGGGAGATGGGGCAGGGGGTGCTTGTGCATGAGGCGGGGCTCTGCTCATCCCGGCAGAGCCTCGGCTTGGGGGGCCTGAGTCCCGGTGGTGGCCCCAAGTCCTCCTCCCCTGGAGGGCTGGATGGTGCGCTGGGGCTCCAGAGGGGCCACATGGCTGTAGGAGGATGACCGTGCCCCGGCAGCTCCCGCGGATGTGGGTCATAGCTCCCGGCGCTCTGGAAACCAGGCCGCTCGGCGGAGCAGCCCTCGGGGGGCGCCGCCTCCACACACCTCCCGACCCCGACCGCTGCCGCTGCCGCTGCCGCCCCTCCCCGCCCCGCCCCGTCCCGTCCCATCCCGCCCTCCCGGGGGCTCGGAGCCCCGGTCCCGTCCCGGGGCGGCGGAGCGGGGGCGGCGGGCGCGGTGATTCGCCGCTTCGGGGGCGGTGGGCGCTCGGCTCATGCATATTCATGATGTGATGTCAGAGGGGGAGCACAGCGCACGGTGACCGCCCGAGAGCGCCATTTCCTGAAGGAGGCGGCGGCGGCGGCTGGGCAGGGACGGACGGACGGACTGACGGACGGACGGAGCGACCCACGGAGTGGCGCCGCGGCGGCCAAGCCGGCAGGGGGAGATCGCCCGGCGGCGGCGACCGGAGCGGAGTGGACCTGACCCGACCCCACCGGCCCGCGCCGTCGCCCCGCAGCAGGTTCTCCCGAGGCTCGCCCCGGCCGGAGCCAGAAGTTTGAGCGTGCCCGTAGCCTGCCGGGCGAGCCCCGTATCGGGCGGCGACGCGGGGCTGCCCCAGCCGCTGTCGCCGCCGCCGCCTGCACGGGCGGTGGGAGCCCCCCGCGGCGCCGGGAACAGGGGAGAGGATGGTGGTGCGGGAGAGATGGAGCTGAAGCGGAGCATGGCGATCCCGCGGCTCCTCGTGCTGGGACTCTGGGCTGCGGCACTCCGGGACGTCGCTGCCGTGGCAGGTGAGCGGGGCTGACAGCCCGGTGGCGGCGGGGCACTGCCCCCCGAGACCCCGGGTGCGGCGGGAGGGGCTGCGGGGCTCGGCTCCTGCCGCCGGCCGAGTCTCCCCGCGGGCAGCTCCCGCTCCGCCGCCTCTACGAGTGTCGACAGCCCGCTGAGGGTCGCCGGGCAGGAGCGGCCGGGGCGCCTGGTCCGCCCGGTGCGGCGGCCGCGGGGCCTCGGGCAGCCACAGGTGGGGTCGGGGCCGGCGCATTTTGCCCCTCCCGGCCGGGCACGGGCGTCTCCGCAGCGTCTGTGGGACCAGCGACGTGGCGCTCGGGAGCCGGCGGGGAGCCCGAGCTGTGCGAGCCTCGCCTGGCTGCGAGTAGAGCAGCGAGTAATCCTCGCCGGGTTCGCGGAGGCATTGCTCTGGCGTGTGCCTAGCGCGGGCCGTCGCCGAGGAAAGCCGGGCGCTAGCGCATTCCTCAGAGGCTTTTGTTGTTGTTTTCCGTCATGAACTCGTTTTCCGAAGTTTCACACCCCGGTCGGCAAGGAAAGCAGCGTGCTGGAGCGTCTCGGCGCCCCGGCCAGCCTCCTCCCGACTTGACCGGGAGTTTGGGCTCCGCGCTGTGTGTGGAGCGATGTGCGTGCAGTGGCACGGAGCTGGGGAGGCTGTGGCACAGGCTGCATCGCTAGATCAGTGTCCTAAGGAATCTGAGGAGCAAAAAACCTTTACCCTGCATGCATGAGCAGACGTCTTCCTCTCTCTCCACTCCCAATATCACAAAAAACATATTCTGTTCCTAGGAATTAAAATATACAGAGATAGCAAGTTTAAAAAGCAAACAAACAGATGTGTCATGTATTTTGACAACTAGTGTGTTCACTTGCTGTCAATTCAGATAATTGCTTGATAAGTCATTTAAAACAGTTCTGTTTCCTACCTATACATTTCACAATCTGCAGCTCTTACAGGTAGGCTTGGCGGAACCTATTTGGATGAAATTACTTCTTGCACAGTTGAATCAAGAATGTTGTCAGATGAGAAATAGTGAGTGGGAGAGTAAAATGAGGAATAGATGGAAATTAAAATTCTTATGTGATTCTTCCTGATACCTGCAGGAAGAGATGCTGCAGCCAAAACTGTGTTACTGACCTGTGAAGTTATTAAAAATACCTGACCTGTAATTCTTCATTTCGGTTGAAATTGATGGAGGGATTATACTTGGACAATATGTACAACTCTGACTGAACACTTGTACTGTATGTTAATTTCCTACATCATTGATTCCTCTGCTAACTGAAAACCATATAGAATCTCTAACAATATTTCCTGGTTTAATTTATGACTAACTCTTTCAGCAGGGCAGTCTGAAGGATGTTGAGTAGTTTGATTTTCCATGAAGGCACCTGTAATGAAAATGTCTGTCAGTTTCTGCATGTGTAGCAGCCTGGCTATATCAGTTTTCTGTAACACAGAGAGAGCTGCTATGAAGCTTTCACATATTATTCCAGTGCTTTGAGTGGTGAAAGGGAGGATGCTTTCTGGCATGCACTGGGACATGTAGTTTTTGTCACATTTAAGTAATGCGAGGTTAGATCATCCTCACCCAAGGTGATCAAATCCTTAGCCTAGCAAATGAGCTGTAGCAACTAAACTCAAATGATCAGCTCGCCCATTCTCCAGTGCTCTCCGTGAATTTGTTAAATTAATAACAGCAGATAGAAAGGCAAAAGACTGAGTGTCAGGAAACCAGCTGGGGAATCTCATTAAGGAAAGGAATAAAGACCTTCTGCCTGTGTTCTGGGTTTTCTCCTAGACTACTGGTACTCATCTGGGTACAGGCTGCTGGTGGCAGAGCGCTGGCTGGTCCCACAGTGCTGGCTCCCCTTCTCCCAGCTGTTACAACCATGCTGTGAGCTCCTCTGCTGCTCCTCTGCCCTCGTGGCCGTGGGAGGGTGGCGTTTTAGCAAGAAGGGAAGTGGCAGATCTGAAATCTGTGTTGGATTCCTGGAAAGGCTGTAACAGAGTTTGAGAGCAACAGGGCTGCTCACTAAGCAGCACTTTCTGACTGGCTCTGTGGGTAGCAAGGCATCCTGTGAGAAGCTGACCAACCAGTGAACTGCGTGAAATTGTAATGTACTGTGATACGTGGCCAGGCAAGAGTGATGGAGTAATTTTTTTCTGAAGGACGTGGAGTCCACTGCCAGGGCAAAATACTGGACTAGGCTAGACCTGTTCTGGTCTGTCAGTCCTGTGCCACTGCATAGGAAATAGCCACTCTCCCTAACAAAACTAACTTTACATTTATTTTCTACCTTCCTGCTTTCCCACGGTCTCCTTTGATCTTCTAGTTCCTCCTTTATATGCCTGTCTTTCTTAAATGTGCTTAGATAGTTGGCTTCCGTGTCTTCTCATGCTAACAAATTCCATACATTCACTTCTGCTTGAGGGAAACACTCCCGATCCACCCACACACGTAACAGTGCTCCGGGGCAAATTCTGATCACTTCTGCATCCATAAACCTGGGCAGCTTCACCAGCTCTGGCCCTGCTGCTTTGGGGTGCCAATGGTGTAGCTCTGGGTACAGTGGGGTCCTTTGGCTGGACTGAAGGGTCCTCCAGACGGCTCATTCCGCACACACCCACATCACGCGACAGAAATATCTGTTCTCTAAACAGTTCTGCTCCTCAGTGAGGTATGGTGTGGAATAGGCTTTGTTTTCGTGGGTTTTGCAAATTGTAGAGAAGCTCTCTGTAAGGCAGGAGAACAGTGTATGCTGAATAACAAAACATAATTGATTCTTCCTCATATCCACGCTCTTTGCAAATGCATACAAGGGAGCAAGCACGATGTTTTCTTAGCAGCACAAGAACAGCATAGCTTAAATCTAGGCCTGGGGAAAAGAGGGAGGTGTGGCAGCGTGTTGAAGGGATGCAGTTAGCATTGCTGGAACACTGACACGGCGAAGCTCCCAGCATTTCTGTGCGTCTCTGCTTGGGCACTGCTCTGCAGAACATCACCCTGCTGTTACACGAGTTGAAAAAATCCCCATGTACATGCTGAACCACCACTTTTCTCCAGCAATTGTGCTTTCAGTGCTTGCATTTGCTTCGCAGATGTAGTAGAGCAGTGCTGAGACTAACACACTCCTCTGCAGCGTGTGCTGGTAGGGTGCATAATTCCAGACCACCAACCTAGAGTAATTTGCTGTACTCCAACCCCCCTTCTTCTGGGGGTGGGGCGGAGTAGTATTTTTTTTTTAGGTATGAAATTTACAGGACCTCCAATCAAATTAAAGGTGTCCCAGGGTCAACCCGTGAAACTAAATTGCAGCCTCGAGGGAATGGAAGATCCCGAGATGTTGTGGATCAAGGACGGAGCAGTGGTGCAAAGCGTAGACCAGGTGTACATTCCAGTAGATGAAGAACACTGGATCGGCTTCCTCAGGTACAACAGATGCAGAGAAGGAAGAATATCATGGAAACTATTGCACAGTTTTCTGCTGTCAGCTATATCTCTGCAACTGCAGTGCCCTCAGTGGGGCAAAGTCCTTAGGTCTGCAGTTCACTGTGTGGCAAGGGCATAACTGAGAGCAGAACTGAAGCCACTGAATGCTGAGATTTTATCCACTACAACCTTATTGGTTTTCTGACTACTGTGGGGACAGGTGCTTTGCTAATGCTTGTGATGCTTGAGACGTGACTTCAAGGTGAAAGGATGGTCTTGCTTTGTTTGTTCATCTTGCTCTGCCATGCAGCAGTATAAATAGGTTTTCTCTCGAACTCATCCTGTTCTCTTATTCTCTCTCTTGAGCTGTCAGTTTGCCTAAAGGGTGAGGATTGTTGATTGAAATTATACTCCCAGGACTACATCCCCTTCCTTTCTTTGGGGAGGAATGTTTGTCCTCTGAACCATCCCTGATTCATTTTGCAATGAATCCTAATTTATTCCTAATAAATTTACACTACATGATATCGGTCCTGACCCATTCAGAGGCATGAAACTCTTGTGCAAAGCAGATCTCTATACTTTTATTTCAGCAGAAGAGGGATATCAGCTAGTTCTGGAAGTACTGAGATAAACAAGACCCAAGGTTCTGCTCTGTCTTTTTTTATGCATTAAAAGAGCTTGTACAGATAAATATACGAACACCACACCACGAGAGCTCAAAACTGTTGACTGACTGAGAATCACTCTTCCCTGAGCTCTGGCTTCATCTCCTGTTACATTTCTTGGATTGACACTGCACAGGGTCTCCAATTCCAGCAACTAAAAGTCTTTGTGTTAAAGCTTGTCTGTAAAAAACATTTTGGTAGGAAAAACATCTGTTCACAGTAAAACTATTGCATAACATTATGTTGTGGAAACAGTTTGTCTTGAAACTATACTGTTTACTTCCCCCCAGTTCCACTAGTTAACTCTGTCCTTCACAATCTCATTCTGATCTCCTTTCTTGCCTCTTGTTTTACTCTGCTGAGAACTCTCTCTGCAGCACCAGAGATAAGTTAGGGTGCTAAATCTGGATGTATCTGAATCTCTCTCTCCTTCTTCCTTTCTTCTCCCAAAGAGACCATTTCTACCATCCATGTGTGACCCTCTGCTGTGATCACTGTATTTCAGAACATGGGCAGGACAGCTGATGCCATTTGAAGGTCCAGCTCTGAAAATCGGGCTGTAGTGGGTCCATTGTGTGCATTTCAGCAAACTCTCTCCCCTTTCTGTCTTCCTTCCTGAGACATCCTTGCCCTTCTCCTGGAGGACTGCTAGCCTTAGAAAGGTGGGCATCAGCTCTGCGGGGGATGCCTGCATGGCAGCAGGCGCGAGGCTGCACGGCCTGCGGGGAGCAGGCAGCGCTGGTGCCCTGACGGGCTCTCCGAGCCACACTGTTGCCTTTGGCAGCTGACACCTCACTGCTTTGGTACCAAATTCTGCCCCTGCTCACCATTCACCAGCATAACCCCTTGAAATCACAAACTGGGAGGCCCAAGGAGTTTTGCAGCGTGAGCCGCTCTGGAATCGGGATAGTGCTGAGCGCTGTTGAGGCAGGGGGACCCTTTTCTGCCCCATCTGTTCCTGTACAGGCTGTGCCAGTCTTGTTGCCTGAGGCAAAGCAGTCCAGCTCACCAGAGGTTTGCAGTGCAGAGTTTCCTGCTAGCTCAGATGTTGTAGGCCAAGCTGTTGCGCTTGAAGGCTAGCTAGAGTCATGATTCAGGATGGAGATGACCTTCCTATCCTCAGAGGACACAGATGACTGGTTTTCTGCCGAGAATGTTTCGGAGGAAGACTGTCTGCTCTGCAAGGACTTTCTCCACCCACTTTAGAGAGGAGCCTCCCATCTCTGCTGTTTTGCCATGTGCTTTGTGCTGGCTGGCTGTTGATCTCCTCCCCAGAGCTGGCTGTGTCTCAGTGGGTGTTTTCCATGCATCTGGTTTGCAAAACACTGGAGGGTCCTTTGGGGCAAAAACATGCTTTATCCACATAAAATATCGATATGGCTTTTGACTTTTTTCAGCTTGAAATCCGTCGAGCGGACAGATTCTGGGAAGTACTGGTGCCAGGTTGAGAACGGGGGGAAGAAGGAAGAATCACAACAAGTGTGGCTCATAGTGGAAGGTAAGGAGGAGTAGTAGTGCTGGTTTCCTTTCACGGCTGACCCACCAATATGCTCCAGGTTGAAGTGGTGAGAGCAGATTGCTCCAGTGACAGGCTTCTTGGCTCTGAACCATTGCTGCTGACTGCAGGGAAATCGCTACAGAGCAGGAGTAAGAACCAGGAGAACTGCTTCAAAGGGCAGAGCTGTCCGTTCATTGCCTTCTGGTTTTATTTTGGCATGTTAGGAAACAAGATCTTTTTGTGCAAGCACATTTCTTTCCAGCTTTTAAATCCATTGTTGCTGTCATCTCTAAATAATTCATAGAATGGTGAATAGTTCATTTTGAGAGGGATCCATGGGGCTTATCTGGTCCAACCCACTTCTCTAAGCAGGGTCACAGTCTGCTTCTGTGTGTCAGCCGGGCAGGTCTTTGTGGGCAAGGTACAGTTTTAACACAGTTGTGAGTTTTGTGAGAAGTGCTGTACATCAGCACTTCATAGCTGTGGCTGCTCTGTGTGGCACTTTTCTGTCCAGGGTTGTCTGATAGGAATGGCTTCTACTTGGCTGCTAAATATCACCCAAGGTGGTGTGGATTGGTGGCTTCTTACTTTCTCTAGTTTCATTTCCCTTGAGCCATGATTCTGTTAGATCCTCTGTTAGATCCTCTGTTAGGAACTAGTAGTCATAGGATGGCTTAATTTTTGGTGAGGAAGTTGACAGGAACAATGCATTTTCAGCAAGAAGTAGTTTTTTGGATGTGTTTGGTAACATTTTGGGGCAGAGCTGAATTGACAGTCCTAGACAGGGGGGAGCAGGGAGGGTGTTGTGGGAGGTGATGTGGTCAGGGTGTTTTACAGCAAAGGTCTTGCTCACTCAGAGCATGGGAACATTCATAGCAGCTCTCACAAGAGGAGTAACACATTCTGCCTTCCATAAATCCTAGGCTTTTGTCCACCTGAATTTTACAGCTTAAAACACTCTCTTGTGTGGAGTTTCTATTTCTATCCAATTACCATGGTCTGCTCCAGAGGTGGCTGCATTTGCATGGTGGGTGCATTAGGAGTGATTGGGTAGCTCAGCATGCCAAGCTGGAATAAACATGCTGCCCTTCTGGACTGCACAGGCAAAAAGTATCTAAGTCACAAAAAACCAGCTGCAGTTAGGTAAGGTGGAGTATGTTGAGAATGAAGGCCAAAGCTTACAGCTGAAGTGAAAAAAAATCAACCAGTTGCCTTTATGAGAAAAACAAGTACAGCACAAGGCAGTTGAACTGGGCATGTAATCATGTGTAAAGGGAGTTGGTGGATATAATTAAAAATTAACAAGTAGTGATAAGGGGTGGAGTTTAAAAAATGTGTCAGCTCTTAGCATAAGAAAGCACCTGGGTTTTCAGACCCACCTTCGTTGTTATCTCTGTGTATTTCTTCCCTGGACGTGCCAGCTTTGTGTAGCAGTGGCTGCTCTATCAATAACAACTGTCCTCTGATTGAAAGAGGATCTTTACTCTGGTGATTTGCAGCCTTCACTAGGTGCTGACATGCCTCAGTGTGGCACACAAACAAATGTGGACTATTGGTGATCTAACTTAAAGTGAGCTTGACTGCATTTCTATGCTGTGTAATAATATCTGCTTAGGTAGTCTGTACCTGCCAGATTTTCTAGCAATGGTATTTGAACTGTCTTTGTAATAAAAATGTTTGATCTTATGAAACACTTCTTTGAATTTACAAAACCAAAACTATTTTGAACCTGTTTCCTGATTCAGAAACTAGTCTCTGGCCTTGCTGAGAACATGATGGCTAGAGAGGTGATCTCAGAGGCACACTGTGGAGTGTTAAAAAATGGATTGGGTTTCTTACAGAGCTTTCTGTCTCAAAATACACCTCTGACTATGTGGCTGTTCCTGGGGCTGCTAGCCCCCATTGTGGCTACAGTCAGAGACCAAGCCACACCTGTATGAGCACATTCCCCTGAATCAATCACTCTGTCTCAAATCTGTACATAAAAATCAGCCTTAAAGGTTGGATACTGCATTGGAAGAGGGGAATAGGTGGGATGATTTCCTTGATTTCCTGCTGATTTCCTGACTGCTGGCTGCTCAGTGCCTCCGTGGGGTGTCTGTGAAAAGAATGTGCTGGCACTCACCTCTTGTACCAGGAACTGGGAGGCTAAATGTGTCACAGGCAGCGAGCTGCCCAGGTAACATACGGACGGGGGCAGTGCGAGTTCCTCAGCTGGATGAGTCAGCTGCACTGCCTCAACTATGAAAGTTTTTAATTGTGGTCTTGTCTGCTCTGTTTAGCTGCTCCCAAAGTGAGACAACCTGCTGAGCTGGGCAGGATCTTCCTGAAAGTTTACCTTGGGTGTCATGACAAATGGACAGGAGGCAGGGATCCTGCTCACAGGTAGAGAAACGGTGATTATTTTCCCCTCTAATCTTCCTTAGAGAAGGAAGGCAAAGCAGGCAGAGGTGTCACAGCTGGTATCTCAAAAGCTTACTCATTTTTATTGTTTATGTATGAATGCAATAAAAAAATGAAGTAAAATATGTCAGCAAAAACAAGCAGTATGCCATGACAATGGATATACGTGTCCTGAATATTAGCCTTTGCACAGATAGGCACTCTCATTCCTCAAGAGACTTGGGTTTAGACCTGTTTTAATCTGTTTTAATCATTTACTTACTACTCTAAGGGAAGGAGGCAAGGAAGGCACAAAGGTGCTGCTACCTGAAAGATGAAACTGTGACTGGACAGTCAGTGAAAGACTGAGGAAAGCACTTTTGTCTGTAGCTTGCAGGAAATGTCAGGCTTCTAAATCCCTATTAGGCACCCGTATTAATTGCCTGCTGGTGGAGGTGCTTGGGCCTGTCACCTTTGGCCAGGGACAGACAGTATAATTTCAGCATATGAATGCACAATGTTGTCAGTTCCTCTGTTTCTGTGAGGCAACAGATCAGCAGCTTCCAGAACACACTTTTTCCAGCTGTGAATGCCTGATTTTGGTTGGGGTAAGTGGTGTTGGTAGCAGCAGTGTTTGACACACAAAGATTTCTGTATAGAAGGGAAATGAGCATTTCTCTGGGCCTTCAGCTCTTCCAACAATCACCAGAAGTGACTGGCTGTCCTGCATGGTCAGCACTGCTGCTGATGGCTGCTGAAATTTGTGCTACTGGTTTGGAGCAATGAAACCACAAGAGCTTTGGCATTGCCCATGAGAAGAACCACATTTCTTGATGTGTGGAATTACACTCAGCTATTGCCATTTAGAGATGACCTAAGGTAGGTAGCATTGCAGCTGCATTCTGCTCCCCGTGGGCCTGGCCTGATACCTGTTGTACCAACCAGGAGTCTTTCCATGGTGGGGAGCAGGTAATTACTGAGAGAGCTGTGTCCGTGGATAGTCTTCAGCTCTGAAACAAATTATCCCTGGCTCCGAGGCAGCCCGGTTGTCGTGGTGTCACAGTGTGCTGGAAGTCATCTCCATTCAATTAAGCTCCAGAGAGGGCATTGTAAATGCTCCAGTCTCTCACCGCGAGGATTCTTTCCTCATTCATGGCTTTGTTAAAGGCGGCAGTTCAACGCTTTCTCAAGCTTCAGTTTTTAATGCATGGCAAGAGGTATCTGCAGCTGGATTAGCTGTCTTTTAAAGTGGTGTCTGCCACCACTAAAGTTATTGACTGTTGCCTCTTTAAACTCTATTCTCTCCAGCTGAAAAATTGAGAAAATACTACCACTAAAAGCTGTTTCATAGGGGGGTCTTGAAAGTGGTTTTTCAAAGGCATTGTGGGAAGCAAGCACTCTTTCTCTCTGACTTCCAGGAGTAGTAGTACTTAGGTGTTCGTGCCCTGAGGTGATGAAGCATATCTGACCCTTGGTTTTTGTGGAGGCCTTGGAGGGCATCGGATTCAGCCTAGCAGCAAGACAGATGGATGTCCAGTGCTGGGCACTGGCGTTAATGGAAATAAACAAGAGGCGGTTGCTCCAGTTATTGTCACTTGTCTGTTGCTTTTCCAGGTGTGCCCTACTTTACTGTGGAACCTGAGGATGTGTCTGTGTCCCCTAATGCTCCATTTCATATGGCCTGTGCTGCTGTTGGTCCCCCTGAACCAGTGACAATTGTCTGGTGGATGGGAGACTCGAGAGTGGGGCTTCCAGACGTCTCCCCCTCCATCTTAAATGTGTCAGGTAAGGCTGCTGCCACTGCTGGGATCACTTGGAGCATCAGAAGAGGACAACAGCTCTCTTCTGATCGTGCCCTGTGCGTTGGGTAGCCACATAGTGTGGGAATTATGTTTAGCTCTGCATTAAAGGCTGAGTGGTCATGATCACACATGATCACACACAAAGATTATCTCAAGGAGTGGTGGTTGCCCAGTGTTTTTGCTGCTGGCTTGAGGCACACAGGCTCTTACAGAGTTTGGGTGGGCCTGGCACTCTTGTTGAAGATGCTGTTGAACAGATGATGCATTGGGTGCCTCTTGTTCCACCTCGTGGAGGGTGTTCATGGTTATATGAAGTGACTCTGTCGGTGCCATTTCTCTTGGAACTCCAAGCATTCACATGTAGCAGATGCCATCCCCTCCTTCTGTGCATAGCCCTGCTTTCCCCTCTCTTACCCACCCCGATCTCTGTTCTTGCAGGCTTGCTGGATGCTTTTATCATTAAAATCTGACTGCCTCATGTAATTGATACTTCAAGAGTGATTGTATCAGTGCTGAAATGGGCTGGTTGATACCCTTCAAGACCAAGGTTTGCCCCAGAGCAGAGCTTTCCCCAGCAGAGTCAGCAGAAAAACTCAGGAGCCAGTAGGTGTTAGGGCCTCTTTTCAGACCACTTCCAAAAAAAGGTGATGTTTCTCTACTTAGAACTGACTGCAGCTATTCTTGCAGTTATCTCTTAAAAGTAACTTCATTGTAGTTAGTTGTCCAACAGTCTTGTGTTATGTTTTCTCTTTGCTGCTGTTTTATTATTCTCAATTCCCCTGACCCAAAGTTTAACTTGTTATTTAGAAAGAAAAGGTTTTACAACTAAGAGTTGTCTCTGGAGCCTCTTTGTCAGTGTTAATACAGTTACACCCAGGGTGAGTTTTTGTATGTCTTTGACCATTCTTTGAGCTGTCCAGTCCTATTCAGGCTTTCCTTAGAACCTTTTTTATTCACAAATCAAAACATGATTTGTGATTTGAAATGATTTTAATCATCTGCTCCCTCTCTTAGGTAGCCACCATCGCTAAGTGTTTCTAAGTTGGAAATGAAAACTGCTCCCTTGTGATATAACCTGCCTGTTGAAATGGAAACTGAAAGGACGGATAGTCAAGAGGAGAAAGACAATAAAAAAATAAGTCACCCCTCCTCCACTAACTCATCCCACAGTGCCTCACAAAATATCTGTTGTTGGGGGGCAGTGGCTTGGAAGCCTGAAAAAGACATCTACTCCTAGTGATTCTCCAAATTAATTGCTGTTTTATTTATTAAGTGTCTTCAGCACCTTTATTTGCTTCCAGTGTTCTTTGGGATGCCCCTTGGGCACACCCTCTTTCATTACACTTTGGGGTGTCCCTTGGGCATATCTTGTCTTTGCAACTTGAAACATTAGCAGGACACAATCTGCATGGTTGGATTACCAAAGCTTGTCAAAAGAGGCAGTTGGTAAGAAAACAAGCTTTGCACTCTGAGGAAAATAGTAACAAAATACTTGGCTAGAAAGCAAACATTGAGAAGGTTCAGCAGTGTTGTATTTGGAAAGCAGTGCTGGCATGGTGTTAGGGAACATGCAGTTCCTGGTTTGTGGTATATTTTGTATTTTCCTCAGGACAGGGCTGTGTTAGGTTCTGTCTTGGGACAGGCCTACCACCTCAGATGCTGCTCTGCTGTGCTGTCTGGCCTTCAGCCTGTTGGCAGCCTCTTCCTCTGGTTCACAGGGATGAGAATAGCACTCTCTGCTCTCTCTCATTTCACCTTCTTTGCCATGCTGTTAGTCTCAGGCTTGGGAGATGAGTCAATGGTCAGAGACACTGTGCAAGCTGCTCTGTGCAGCTCTGAAATGATTTTCCTTCCTAAATTGTATGCCACAATGAGCCAATCTTTACCTTTTCTCAGAGTCTTTTAAGGCAACTGAGGGCCAAGCCACGTGACAATAGCTGCTGGACACAGTTCTCCAGGCAGCCTTGCAAATCTATCTCAATTCTGATATATTTGCAATATCTGTGTGTGTCCTGGGACAGCCAGACATTGTGCCATGATGCCATGGGATGGATGGATGGATGGATGGATGGATGGATGGATGCTCACAGAAGACTTCTGACTTGTATCACCCCTGGAAAGTGTTTCAGTGCTGATGCAGTAGCATTTAACTCTTGCTTCCTTTGTGTGTCTTCAGAAGTCTGGTGCAAGGTGGGGGACAGGTGGGCATTGACTAGAAATAGGCAGCATCTGACTGAAGGTTTGCCTGGGCTTATAGCCCAGTTGTAAGATGAATGTTGCTCAAGTGTAGGCTGAGACCCAAAGCATTGGGCTTTGTGTGAGCTCAAAGTTCAGCACAATCCTTGCTCCAAAGATGCTCACCAGAATGTGAGAAGCAGACATCTACTACCTGAGCACTATAAGCTGCTGTCCTGACAGATTCTTCCTTCCTTTTCAGTGCTTTCTGACACTTCCATGAAAGCTTTTCTGCATTGCCACACTCCCTCTATTAAAAATGTGTTTAGCACATTAGTTACATTGAAATCTGCATACCTTTGATTGGCACCCTGCTCACCCCTCCAACTGCCTGGAGCTGGATGTCACAAATAACTGAAATTCTGCTGAAGGTTGAAGCTGGATTATATAGCTATTTGTGTTTCCTTTCCTTTTCTTGGCTGCTCTCCAGGTATTAATCAAAGTACAGTTTTCTCCTGCGAAGCTCACAACGTAAAGGGATTGTCTTCGTCTCGGACTGCCACTGTTCAAATTAAAGGTGAGAGACTGGGTGCCAGAGACTGGGCAAGGGCCTCAGATTTGCTCTCTGGGGAGGGAAAGTAGAGCTCCTTAATGCCAGGAGGTGCCTCAAGGCTGCAGGCACCGGCTGGAGCTCTCAGCAGTGGAAACAATGCTTTGTGCTCTAACAGCAGTTCCCACTTCCTATGCAGGGCTGTATCCCAGGCTGTTGAAAATAATCCACATCTGATTCAGGAGTGGAAATGTGATGTCAAATGACAGCTTTTCCTTGAAAAGAAGAGAGCTGGGGCGATTAAGTTTTTTGTGAGAGATGAAGCTGATATAAATTTGTAGCAGGGAAGTCCTTCCCTCTTGGGAATAGATGGGTCTTGTTAGAGCTAAAGAGGCCATTACTTCTGCTTGCTTTTATTAGCATCACATTAGATATTGGAAAAAGTCAAGGAAGGTGATCACCAGTGGCCACTAAGGTCTGCTCATCCACACTGGGTTTATGAATTTTATTTTTTTATTTTTGAAATTCTTTGCTCTTTAAAAGCTCATTGAAAACAAATAATTCCTAGCCTGTGCATGACCAGTTGCCATTTGGAAGTCTCCAGGCTGATGTGACATTTCCTCTGTTCCTCCAGGTAACTGAAACAGGGATAATCGGAGCAATCAGCTCTTCCCTTCTTCTTCATGTTGAGATGCTTCTGCATTTGAATTTTTAGTCATGCTTTAATGCACTTTTAATTACATGATCATCAGTTCCAGGAGAGGCATGGCACAAAAATAATTTGTTCCAAGTGGTAGCTTATTGCTCAGCGCAGATACAAGCAATCATTTATGTACTGTAGTTGTAGTAGCTCATCTTCATTAAAGGACAGATCGAAATCCAGCTGTAACCTACTGCTCCAGGAGTGTGTTTTTGTTCAGGACATTGTGGTTACTGCTATGCCAAGAATGCAGAACGTTTCACTAGTAAGATTTATAACTTAATTTAAAACCATTTGGAGTTGTTGCCTTAAAGGCTTGTCTACACAGCGCAGTTAGCTATTGTAGAATATATCTTCTATGTATATTTTATCCTGGGATAAATTTAGTTCACAAAGCTATTACACTTTAAAAAATCTTGTCAAGCCATAAATTGAAAAAAGAATTAGCATAAACAAGCTTTTGAAGTTTTTCATTTTAATACAGATTATTATTTTTTTAACTATTAATAAGATGAAGATGTAACGACCTCAGAACTCTCTCATTTCCCAGCAACTATGTTTAGCTGAAAAGTGTTCCTCAGGGATCATCAGCTAATGAATCCACACAGCCTATTTATGGGGGTCATATTGCCATCATACACTTGGGTCACACACACATGTTCTAGAGCTGAGAAAGAGCAAGCTTAAGTCACTCAGCTAACATTGCACCAGATATGGCAAGTCCCAGAGACAAAAATTCAGGTTTTGAATAGCAAGTCCAGTGCTGTATTCATAAAAGTAATGTCTGTAGTACCTCATACATATGTCTAAAAATGTCGTTATAAATTTACCTAAGTGACGAGGCTTTTCTAAATAGAAAAGTTTTGAAGATCTAGTATAGCCCTATTAAAATTAAAGCAAAGCTCCTACACAGCAGAAATAGGGCAGGTCCAAATAATGTTTATTTAGTTCTTGGTCCTATGAACATGCAGAATTCAATGAAGTTACTTCTGGATGTAGCTGTCTGTACATGCATGTTGAAGGCCTTCCTCTCTTACACAAACCCATCTGCTGATGAGGACTCTAAATCTTTCTACAATTTATTAGACAATTAGTTTCTTCTGTGTTTCCAGAGGCAAATATTTTTGCTAGGACATTGACAAACTGTTAACATTTCTTCCTATTTGCTCCTGTTGTTGTTCATTATCTATTCTCTGTAGTGCCCACAATGTGCTGGGTGTACTCCAAGCAGAAAATTACTGTTATTGTGGCCCACGGTCCCCAGCCATTACAAAGCCCCATTGTTCAGCCACTCTCTAAGCACAGAGGAAGCTAACTCTCTTGTATTAACACTCAAGGTCCTGTTTTCTGACAGGCTTTTCTCCCCTTTATGTGTGCAGCTAACCCTTTTAGGGTTGTATCCCGTGTTTCAGAGCACAACAGGAAACAGCCGCCCACAGTTTTTTCCCAGGAGATGAGGGGACAATGCATCCGGCCCTTGCCTGCAGTTAGGGGAAGGTGCTGGCAAGCCAGCCCTCCTCAGCCACTGTCTCCTTCGCACAGGGAGTGTGTTAGCAGCTGATTCTTCTCACTGGTGGCACAGCACATACCTCCTTTGGGCCTGCCATCCTGCATTGAAAAGTACACGTTCTGCTAAACCCAAAAGTTACAGGTGTGTCTGCAAAAACTTGAGTTATGGACAATGTTTCAGCAATACCCAGTAAGCAGTAAAAGCAGAATTTTTTCTCCTTAAAGACCCTACAGACCTGAACACAAAACATCAAAAGAGAATGAAACAAAGATGCAGGAAAGTCTTAAGTTAACTAACTAATAACTCATTGACCAGCTTCCATCCCAGACCCTTGGTCTGCTGCTCCACCCCCCACCCACACACCCTGTTATTATCTAGGTGCCAGGCTCTGCCCTGGGTCCTGGTAACTGGTTAACCAGACAACAAAGGCTTTTTAGGGTTAATCTGTGTCACCATCTATTTGTCTCCTCCAGGCCCTCTGCAGAGACCTGAGTGTTTGGGCTCTGCATTTCTATTGCAAGATGGCCCTGTGGATATGCTGAATGCAGCAGTATTGTGGTTGTCCTTGGTGCAGTGAAATACAAAGGTGCTCTGGCAGGGTAGAAGATGCAGCTGGAGAAATCCCAGCTTGCAATTGCTTTTCCATTGTTGCTTTCTGATGGATACAACTCAGGAGGCATGGAAAATTCAATCTGCAGGCAGAGCCTTGTCCTGAGGATGGGTTTCTGAAAGAGGACCCCTGAGGTGTACAATTTGTTGAGGTGCTGCAGGAAAACTCTTACAAGCACCAGCGTACAATTTTTTTAAATGAGAAGAAGGTCAGGGGAGAGGTTAGTTTTCATGAAGCTGCTAATTTTGTCAGGAGTGAAGCGCCAGAATGAAAACTCGGAGGTGAAAAAGAAATAGTGACCGGAATTATAGGAATTAACTATGTGGAATTGCAGTGAGAGGAAAGGAGAAGTCAAAGGGAAGCATCAAAGATCCTAAAAGGAAGCCAAGCAGTTTGGTGCTGTGCTGTGGTGGTAGGAAGCATGAGCATCTGACTAACTGTCCTGTCTTGGAATCCTGATTTTGTTCCTGGCCCTGCCCTTAATTTGTGGAGTGGTATCAGCCATGTGTGGCAGTGTGACAGGCACTCCCCTTGGCTTGAATTTCCCCTCTGTAAAACAGTTTATTCATCCCAAGCCTGAGGAGGCAGTTTTCAATCCAGGCTCTGTCCCAAGGTGTTTCAGTGGGAGTTTGCAGTGGACACCTGGAGGCAGCACAAAGAAATCTACTGCAAATCCAGCTCCAGGGTATTCAGGTCACTGCAGCAAGCCACCCTCCACCTGGTGCTGGCAGAGCTGGTGTCAAAGGCTGGACTGAGAACCCGAGGTGGGATTTTCAAGCCCTGATTTAGTTCACAATGTGGATCCACAGGCAGCTGTGTGCAGGGCTGAGTCATGCCCTGCAATGGAGGGGGAAGGGAAGAGACCTGAGTAGCAAAGGTGCAACCATCACACACTGGCATTGCAATCAAAGAGATCAACCACTGCCTGTATGCATCTATAGACAGTGATGAATGGCTGACAATAGCTTGTCCAGATGTTAAAATAATAGTTTCATTCACAACAATTCAGGGACACTCTCTAAAGTTGTGGTATTTTAGCACATTTCTGTTAGTGATTTCATTGCGTAATTTTTAGCCTCAAGCCTCTTCCATTTCCACGTGAATACCTGCTCAGTTCTGTGTACACTGAAAGGTCTCTTTGTTTCCTTTCCAGCCATGCCTCTCCCGCCTCTCAATGTAACTGTAAGCCAAGTCACCAGCAGCAATGCCAGCATGGTCTGGGTGCCAGGATTTGATGGCCGTGCACCTCTCCATTCTTGCACTCTTCAGGTATGGCCTCTCTGCCTTGTGCCCTGCCCTGCATAAATAATTGGACTCTTCTAAGCCACATTTCCTGGGCTATCATTTGCTCTCCGAACATTTCAGCCGTGTTCCAATTCTTACTTCACAGCCTTAAAACATAAAAACTTAACAGGAGGCAACTCATAGGTGCCAAAGAGCAGGTCATGAACTTCATGCTCAAAAGTTAAGTGTTAAGGACTGGCCACATTCTCCTGGCCAGCAGGTTATCAGTTGTTTCATGGCAGCTGCTCCACAGAGGTTATTACACTGCAGCACACGTGAGGCACACAGCACTCTGTGGGAAGTGCCCTGGAGCAGCTGTGGCTGCAGGGTGCCCACCCTTCCTGCAAGGAGCAGTGGCCCATGGTAGCTTGTTCCAGGGCAGGTGCCTGTGAGTCCCATGCCAAATCAGGCCTGTGCTGTGGGATGCCAGAAGAAGTGCAGGAATTCGCACATACCGATGAATCCGAGGGATGAGGAGCTTGCAGAGTACAGGATGTGCTACAGGAAAGTGAGGAATGATGGAAGCAGAAGGCAGATTGGGCTTTTTGATACAAGGTCAGGCCTATTTGCATGTCTCAGAGCAAATTTAAGCCCTGTCTCTAAATTTTGATTGGTTTTCCGTTGCCAAAGACCAGTTCTTCCCAGAAAATCAAGCTTGATACTATTCTGTAGCTCTGCTAAGTGCAGAGTACTCCACATCTGTGAAAAACTGGTCTGCTCCTTGAAGTTCCTGAAAACAATGATATGTGTCCAACCTCAGGCAGAGTTAGTTTCTATCATTGCATACTTAGCTGTAGAATCAGATCAAAGAGCAGGAAGCCCAGTGAGAAAATAAATGGTGATACCCAAAGCAGGCTGTGCAAACACAGCTAGGCACATTCCCCATGGATTTATTTGCCAGGCCCCTATGCTTTCCCTACCTGATTACAGCAGCCTTATGAGCTGGACTGGAATTTCTATGCAGTCTTGCCAACTATGCAGAGGAGGATTATAAACTTAAGGTATGCTGGAAGCAGTCTAGCTAATTTACTTGTAGTCCTCTTTTTATTTGAGGGGAAACCAGAGGTTTCATGCTCTGATGTTTATTTCAGAAGTAAAGGAAATAATAATTTAGTTTCAACTCACTAGCAGAAAGAACTCCCGAATGCAGCTGGCCCTGGTTTGTGGGTTTTGTTGCTACTTCTGTTCTTTTCTGCAGTTGAAAATACTTTTCTTCCTCTGTTTTACAATGTCAGTTATCTCAGGCTGGAACAGCCTATTCTCTCTGGCTTGCACGCTGCAATGCTAATCATGCCGGGGTTTAAGTTCTCCCTCACTTTTGGCAGGGGCAGGGCTGGGGGATGGGACATGTGGAAAAGAGGCTGAATCAGAGCAGCCCAGTTTCTGTCAACTCAGCAGTCTCTCACCCCTTTTCTAAGCCTTTTCTGTTCTATTTGGGGAGGACGGAGTTCCTGCATTTGAGTCTGGTAGCGGGATAACTTGGCAATGACCCTGCACTGTCAGAAAACTGTGCTTCCTCTGACTCCCACATTGAGAGATTCTGTGCGAGGCATTGACCTACATTTCCATGTGAAAATGCACATGTTCCTGGCTCCTCATGATTGCACTTGTGCTGGGAGTCTCCCAGAAAGAGAAGGGGGATTGGAAGTTTGCAGTGCTGTTCTGGCACTCAGGCATTGCAGCGGGTGCCCCAGGAGCACCGTGTTCAGACAAGCAGATTGCTTCTGGGGACAGGGCAGGGCATGGCAGTGTTTTCTGACTGCTAACACAAGCCGAGTTCCAGGGTGTGAAAGGGGCACATGCGCTACCACCAGCTCTTGGGAGTGTTGAACAGAAATACATCATCCACCAGACAGGGTTTAACAAAATAGTTGTCTTGTTTTTTCCGTGCTGCGGGTGACAGTGATAATGACAACAATATGCTTTTCTACTCAGGAAACTTGAGATTCTTCCTTTCTACCAGCCAAATAAACCAGTGTGCCAAAAGTGTATGTGAGAGTGAGCAGAAGGGCAGTGAGAAAGGAAGAAAGGCTGCCATATAAAATACATAAAGTCCAAATGACTTTTTCGCTTTTGTCAGTACATCTTGCTTTTACTCTCTGCTTTGCTATTTTGCATGCACTTGAAGAGAAAGTCTGAGCCTGGGAGCTATGCAGTGATTTCTGCTATTGTTAGTACAAAAGTAGGAGCATTCACTCTGTCTGTGCATTAAAAGCATACAGTGATATCAGATTTAAATTAACATTCATGCTGCTTTAAAGCTCAGATTTGGCAACAAGAAAAAGAAAGATGTAGGAGTGGTAAGAAGTTTTTTTCCAGTTTAATTTGAAACAAGTTAGTTGAACCAAGTTACCTATGTCTACCATACCTCTCATCCACTACAAAATTGAAAATATACAAAGTTCTGGAAAAAAGAGTTGAGCAAAAGGTGACAGTAGGCAACAGGCAAGTTGCTCTACTGGTTTTCATTGCCCAGATTTAAACAAGCCTCAGAAGCTGGCTGCTACCACTCAAAGTGACAAGCACATTTAGTTTTCTTTAAAGGAATAATAATCAACTGTAGAAAGTGTAACATAGGGAAAGAAATATTTTAAAATATGGAACCAAATTTTCATCTGGTGGAAAATTTCTGTACTGCCCAAATGATGTCACTTCATGATTCTTAGTTTGACAAGTCCCATTTCAGTATTTTAAGCACTACTGGTGCTGTATCTATTCTTACACATTCCTAAACTGACAATTAAATGAATTCTTATCCATGTGGACATGTTAGTCATATTGTTTATGGTAACAGTCATCTCGTTTCACTCTTGGCACAGGTAGCTGAGTCACCAGATGGCCAGGAGCTGTCCACTGAAGTGACCCCAGTGCCGCCCTTCTCCTACACCGTGCAAGGCCTGAAGCATTCCACCAACTACAGCGTCCGTGTGCAGTGCAGCAATGAGATGGGCAGCTCCCCTTTCACTGACAGGGTTTATTTCCAGACCCTGGAGCTTGGTAAGAAACAGCAGACAAGAACAGGACAGCGGTTCTGAAACTGAAAAAGAGACTATTATAAATGTCATTAACTCCTTGCTGCTTCTGCAGTATGAGAAACATTATGCTGTTAGATTGCCCATCCATTCCAAGGGTCTCCCAGAGCAAAACAATAATACACAGTCACAAGTGGTAGCAGCAATGATGTGTAACACAGGGCTTTACCCAACCATGGGGTTTCTGCATGTTGGTCCCATTAGCTCTGTGAGATCCGTGGGATCTTGAGAGAAATGAGGGGTGCTGACCTGTCTTCTCCACTTAAAACCACACACAGAGTGCTGGTGGTTTGCAGAAGTTGTTCTCTCTCCTGACACCCTCTCTTTTCTGGATGATCTCAGGAAAGAGGGTGAAACTGCCATTTTCACTGTGGATAGTGCCTTATCTTCCTGCACAAGTGATGGTGTTCTGTTCTCTGCTTTCAGCTCCAAACAGCACCCCTCAAAATATCCATGTTATTCAAAGAGATCCTGGTCTAATTTTGGAATGGGAAGGTGTGACTCCAGATGTGCTGAAAGAAAATGTCCTGGGATACAGACTGGAATGGATTCAGGATAATGTAACTCAGGTAACAGATTGAGAAGTTACTGAGCCATTGAACACAGAATTACAGAAGGTTTGTACTAAATTTTCTAGGCATTAAGGTCCCTCATCCATACCAGGGGTTTAGTTTACTGACATTGCTTTTGTGTAAATGGATGTATTCTGACATTAGGGAATGTCCCACTATTCGACTTCAAGATACAGGACCATTTCCTCCTTCCTGGCGTATTCAGAATTCCTTCACTTGAATGTTCATCTGCAGACAGACCAGTTCTCTGCCATTCCTTGCACAAGCAGGACAACAGAGATAATCCCTTTGTCTGTCTCTGCCTCTTTCTGGGCTGTCCAGCTCAGACAGTACAGGATGTGGGCTTTCTGTCTCCTGTGACTGGGCCTTGGCTTTCCAAATCCTAGCAGCAAAGGTGTATTTAACAAGTGAATGAGTTGTGCTGTAAATCACAGAAAGAAGGTTGTGGATTCTTTAGCTTCATTTATAATACTTAGGGAGTTGAAAGGACCCTGACAGGGTAGAAGGCCTTTCATTTATTTGTTGGCATTGACCTTTCCCAGGTATCTATCAGCCTTTGAAGTTCACAGCATTTCTTATGGTTTCTAACTTCCTAATAGGTGTTTACCCAGTGCTTATTAATGAAGAGCAAGCCTGTAATAGTAGACAGCTAGAGGGAAAAAAGAATTATTTCCTATTTTGTATGACCCATTTCACACTAGGTCAGCGTCATTGACTTTGTGTGATGGTATTTTGAGTTCTCATTGAATTTACTCTGTGTCAGTGGAGGCAGCCAAATGTTCATGGGTTTGCTGTATGAAGAAGGTCCATAAAACTACTGAAAATATCTTGACCTTGCCATTGTAAGTGAAAATCGGGGCTGAAATTCAGAAGCCATTCAGGATTTGGTCAGCAAGTTAAAAGAGACAGACAGATTCCTCCCTTGGATTAAAACCACCAGATGCTTTACAGTAAACCACAAGAAGGAGGTATATCTTTTAATAGCAGAAAAAACCCATATTTCTATAGCAACGTGCATGGGAGGACTTCAAAGGAAGAAATTATTAAACCTCCTATCTCCCTTATGCCTTGGGAAACTATTAGCAATTTTTGGGAAGAGAAGCCCAAGACAACAGCCCAAATCTCAGGCAAAACTGAGATAAGGGCCCAGAAGTCACAATTCCCAGCCCTTGTTATAGTGCCAGTGAAGTACATGTTTGGTACTGTTTTGGTTTAAAGGTGAAGTTTTACATTAGATGCCTTTTAAAACAGCTCACTGTTTATTGTCATTTGCACTCAGGGGGAGATGATTGTGCAGGACACAAAAGCCAATCTCTCCATGTGGAATCCTCTCAAAGACCTGATTATCAGGGTGTGTGTGCTGAACTCTGCAGGGTGTGGGCCCTGGAGTGACCTCTTCCTGCTTGAAGCCCAGGAGGTCATGGGTAAGTGTCCACTATTTTCTCCTTCACTTGGGGAAAAAAGTCAGAAATACTGGGACTGCTGTTTTTTCACAGTCTTTTTCTTTCAGTGCTTATTACTTACATGTGGGGTTATGTACAACAGCACACTTCATCAAGGAGACCAGAAATTCAATAATCTTCAAAGAGCTGGTATAAACAAAACAGCTTCTGGCCTCTACTGTGTCTTCTTAGGACAGGGTTTTACTGTGCTTAGTGCAGAGCAGAAGGGCAGACACAAGAGAAAATATGCAAATTAGGGTTTACACAGATTTACACAAGTAAACGTGGCAGAAGACTCCTCCAGTACAGATTGTCTTCTTTGATTTAATTTTATGCCATTCCTGACTAGTTTTAGTGAAGCCTGATTTAAACTGTGGCCACATGTGGCTTCATAATGGTTTTACTGAATGTATATATGATAAACCAGTTTAGCTGTCTCCATGGAAAAGCTGAGCTACTGGTAGAAGAGGAAGATGATGGTACAGATGCTGTACCATGCAATCTGGACCGTGTGGAAGGTTTGTTGAGAGCAAAGGACATGCACATGTGGAGTGCACTCCTAGTGCTGAAGGGCCGTTGGGCTCACCTGGGGTGATTGCCTGGCTGCTTGTGTTTCCCTGTGAGTGGGAAGTGGCAGGCACGCTATGAAGTAAGACAGGATGTTATATGGGGAGATGGATAGAAGGGAGAAGGGAAAAGCTCCTGTTTGTGAAGGAAACTGTAACAGAACTAAGAGGAAAATGTTCCAAATAAAGATACAGATTGGTGATAAGAAGTCATAGAGGTGTGACCATACAAAAATTCCACATTCTCCTGAGGTTTTGTTTCCAAGTGGCTGTGGCAGGACAAGATATCTAATTTCTAAGTCTATCTAATATCAAAGTCTCTAATTTCTGATGCTGACCCATCTGCTGCTGCTATCTTCTCACTCTACATGTCTCTGAGGAATCACATGGACATTGATCTCTCCTGATCCCTCCATGCTGAAGGATGGCAGGGAGACTCAATAGAGGAGTTCCCAAGAAAGCAGGAGATGGGGATACAGGTAGAGCAACCAGTAGAGAACTGTATCCTTACTTGCAGTAGTGCATTTAGTGCTGGATTTAGCATGCACATTACTCAGGTCCTTTGGCAGCCCAGTTCCTGTGACAAAGTCAGCACTGAAGGTCAGGTGTGACCATGCAGTCACTGTGGGATCAAAGCCCTCAAATTATTTAAAAGCGATTGAAGGGGTGGGAAGGTTCAGAGCTGAACCTACTGAGGTTGGTCACTAGCTCCATCAATTTTTTTCCTCCTATTTTTTGATTGGATATTTTCTGTGGCACCCAAATACATACAAAAGTATCTGAAAGAACCAGGGTTTCCTTTGGAAAACAGCCATCACTGGCAAGAAGCCCCAGGGAATGTTTAGGGTTTGCATTTTACAGGGAGCTGGAATGGGGTGATCCTGAAAGCACTATATGTTGTTGCTTGATTGTTTTTATTTACAAACCACTTCAAAAAAAGCAGCATCGGGAGTGGTGCTTGTTTTGGCCAAATGCTGTCTGGAAGCACATGTATTTCTTCACAAGCATAATGGGCTGGAAGTAAAAGTTCACTGTGGAAACACTGACAGGCCTTAAGCAGCAGAGCTGCAGAAAGACTGCAGTTTTGTTTCAGGCCTGGTAGAAAACATAAGTCGCTCCCTTTCCTAAAATAGCAGCCTGGCACTGGTTGCTTTATGTGAGAAATGCCAGGGGTGGTTTCTGCCCAGCTCCCAGTGCGGCAATAAGGATGACTAAGCTCGTATAAACTTTAACTCGAATTTGTCATCACAGCAAAGCTAGTGGGAGCTCCACCCTACTTATGCAGAGATCTTGAGTGCTGTTAACAAAGATTGTTTTAATATTTTGAGAAACTTTCTCAGAAGAAACCTCTTTTTTCATAGCAGAGTGAGGAACAGAGTGGTGTAATAGCTTTTTCCTATCTGTAATCTTCACAATTTTAGGCAGAAGACTCTTGGATTATGTTCTTTGCACACTTTTGAAATGTAAACTTTCTATGAAATAAAAGGGTCCATCATCCGAGGGCTCCTAAATACTCTTCTAGACTCTTCTAATAATACTGAATTCTCTCCGCCTGGTGCAGTCTTAAGGCGTGTGCTGGTTGAAAAAGGGGCTGCAGGAGATGGGAGAGAGAGTTGAGAGACGAGAGGCAACTTGTGGGCTGCAGCCTCCTCTCAAACTCAGTGACACAAGAGGGAAGCAAGGATGTGTGGGGCAGAGCAGGAGAAGCAGTGAATTTCAACATTCATTTCTATTTCTGACACATTTGCTATAAACTGTGAGATGGGCTTCTGATTCCCAGCAGTTTAGAAACAGGGAGAATAATTTAGTTTAGTTTTATTTTCATCCATACTCCTTTTTTAGGGGCTCCCCAGAAGTTAACCTAAATCCCTGCTCTCTCACCAGACAGAGACTAGAAAAATAAGCCAAGAGAGGTTTGTCTCACCACAGGGAGAAGGAAGCCTTATTGTTAACTATGAGAGAGGACCTTTCTCAAACAGTGTTGTTAGCTGTTTCTACCCTGATTGTTAGGCAGAATCACACCAAGTGAATGCCTTGGGAATAGTGGAGAGGGTTGGAGTTACCTCTATTTTTTTTGAGAAAGACAGCTTCTGTTTCTGATCTCTCCCTCCTCATAAACAGCCTTGAAGGCTGGGTTGAAAATTGCAGCAAGAGGGAGTATCATAAGCCCCAGAGCCTGTAAAGCCTTCTGGATGGTAAAAGAAAATGTGAGTCACTGAAGGAGATAAGATGCTGGGAAATAAGTACTGAGGATCTGATAATTTGCTTCAAGTGGAGAAGTACTAGTCTGCTTCCTCCTTTTGTCTACAATTCTGTGTCCTTAAGCTCTACCTATTTATTAACTAATACTACTTCTTTAAAAACCTGGATGATAAGGCTCCTCCATGTAGCTGTTAATCAAGCCTCAGGAGCCTCTTGCCTGCCTGGACTCTGCCAGCAAGGGTTGTCTGACTATTTTTCATATGCATCTATGCAGAGATCCATCCAAATTCCAGCCCATAAACCTAACATCTCTTTTAAGAACAGTTTTATTTATACTGTCATGACTTATATCAGGATTACTTACATCATCAAAGATGATTCTTCCTTGCCTTCAGGTAAAGGGCAATCAGCTGCTGAGGGTGAGCAAAGTGAGCATGAAGATGAAGGAGGTGCTCAGGGACCTGGTATCTTTTCTTGTTAGCTCTTAAACATTTTGGAATGAGGGCCATCCTAGATTTTAATAAATCCATTCAAATTCACATTTAATCCTTAGTAATTGTATTTGGAGAAGAAATCTCTCAGGGAGTTGGATTAATTTATCATTTTTTGCCAGGCATAGATAATATTCTTTTTATTCAGAACTGTATTGCTTATCTTCCTTGCCTGACAGCTTGCTCAGCTTGGCAGTGTCTCCATTTCTTCTGTAGACATTTTGTAGTCAAAAGTATACATATTCTGGGAGAAAATATTCTTTTCTTTGGGGAGAGACGTTGAGAAGCTGCAACCACCAAACAACATTGTAAAGTTACAGCTAATACCAAGTCCCTCAGGATGCTTCTCTTTGTGGGAAGGGTTAGAGGAAAAATGTAAATATTTTTAACCATATTGCCATGAGGCAATTGTCCTTCTCTGTTGTCTTTAAAAATGTTGCCTAGCTGACATTCAGGTAGTGCTGTGTTACCTGGTCAAGGTTCTGGTCTGTCTCAAACAGGACAGGGTGAAACCCACATGCAGAATGATCGCGCTGAGGAACCTTCTTGTCCTGAGGCTCCAATTTGAAGCGCCCCAGATCATGAGCTCATGTGAAATAATATAATCTGGTGCAGCACCTGTTACATTCTCAAGGCTCAAAGCCAATAGTTTCTGACAACTAGATGGTTCTGCTCTGCCTTTGCTGTGAGAAATAGCTCGTTTTCCTGATGATTTGGCTGTTTATGCCGAATTCCAGTATACAAAGATCCACCAGGTCCAGCAGCATGGCTTTCCCATTTAAAATCTAAAGGAGAAATTGGCCTGTTTAACATTAGCAGTCTTCTGTTTCCTGACTGGTGTTTTCTCCATCATCTAGGTGGCCAGAGACAACCTCCTTATGGGACATCCTGGGTTCCTGTGGCACTGGGCATTCTCACAGCTCTGGTCACAGCTGTTGCTCTGGCTCTTATTCTCCTTCGAAAAAGAAGAAAGGAAACTCGGTTTGGGTAAGGGAGTTTCTCCTTGTGCTGGTTACAGAGATCTCTGCTTTCTCTTCTGTTGTGGTTTCTGACTCAATTGTTTTTCAAAAAAGCAGTGTGGATGGAGTACTTTTGGCAGTTTCTTTGAGTAACTGTATTGGTTGTTTTTTTGTTGGAATTTTTTGGGGAGTGTGTTGTTACTGGTTTTTTCCCATAGTTTTGGGGTGCCTGCCTTTTCTTCAAAATGACAGCACCAAAAATACAGTAGAAAAAATGCTATGTTAATAGCAATGCCTTATTAGACTATACAAATATAAACTCTATGAAGGTAATTCTTAGCACTGCTGCTTAAGAGAAAAGATCCACAGATGAAACATCTGTATTCTTATGGTCTGAGCCCTTTATCCCATGCTGGTTTTCAGTCTCTCGGCTGATTGTAACTTCCTGACTGCCCAGAACCTCTGGATCCCCAGTAAAGTTTCCTGTCCATCACCTCTGACTCTTGGCTGTGGTTTGCTCCTTACTGCAAACAAGGTTCCCTCTCTTTCCAGTCCCCCAGACCTCCCTGTCACAGCAGCATCTCTGCTCCTATGACTCCTGCAACCAGCCCCAACCTGCAGCTTCTCACAGGCACTTGGGAGGAGTGATTCCCCTGTTTTGGAAGGCTGTCGGTGCATCAGCAAAGCAGCATAAACCCATTGTTTCTCCTCTCCAGATACACCCTCTTTAACAAAGCGGTCTGCAGAATTTATCTGGCAAAGAGCGAGAAATCATCCGTACTGTTCAACACACCCTTTTAGAATTGAATGGCCCGTGTAATCATGGTCCTGTGTGTCTTTTCTGCCTTCTAGCCATGCCTTTGGCAGTGTGGTTGGCAGAGGGGATCCAGCAGTCCATTTCAGAGCTGCCAGGTCTTTCAACAGGGAGGGCCCAGAGCTCATTGAAGCAACATGTAAGTAAAATGACCTGAGTGATTCTGCCCGGGAAGCTATGTTCATGCATTTACAATGCTCTCTCTGTTTTCACTGAAACTGATGTTTCTTGATAAAAAACATGGGATTAATTTACAATGAGGCTTAGACACTGTGAATTGCGGAGGTGAAAGGCCAGAATGGTTGTTTCCATACCAATTACATAGCACTTGCTAATTACAGCTACAGTCATTATGTATATTAATGCAAGACATAAATTCACCACTCCCTTGCCCCAGTTTCACAATACAAGGACTCCTTCAACTGGAATATAATCCAGTGGTGAGATAAATATGGCTGAGCAATATTAGCAGGACTTTTTAAATTCAGTATGCTGAGCTGTGCTGCATACAAGCATGAACCAATCAATCAGTCTTGGAAAGCCAGGAATTAGTAATTTATCAAAGAGGAGATTGAGTTCCAGGAATGGTCAGATGATCCATTAAGGTGATCCATTTCTGTCTCCTGGTTCAGGAAGGGCATGGCTCTCTGTGGCAGCACTGCTTAGCTGGGGTAGGATGATGCTCCAGTCAGTAATTAAAATGGTGCAGCTCCATCAACTAAAATTAAGTTGTGTGAACCAGTGTCTATCAGTGGCCCTTCTGATTGGATTTTGTCTTCTCAGCATTCTTTACATTATTTCTGCATTCCTGTTGTTCTTGGAGTGTTTAAGGGTGGTATTATCACACCCTCTCCCTTTAAGTACTGTAAGTACATTTTCTGATGGTTGAAAGTTACTGGCCATTTGTCTGAGGTGAGGCTAGAGGACATGGAAGGGAATTCTGCCCTTTTCCCTGCTTACAGTGTGGGAATCAGATTGGAGATGGAGATTAGAACAGACGACTCTTAATGTTGTGACAGAATATTTAAATATCCCTTATTTGATGCTTCATTTGTTTTGTTGTTTGGTTTTTTTCCAGTGGAGAGTGTAGGGATCAGTGATGAGTTGAAGACAAAACTAAAAGATGTCTTAATCCAAGAGCAGCAGTTCACCTTGGGAAGAATGTTGGGCAAGGGTAAGAACCAAAACTGAACAAGGCTTTACATTGAAAATCCCACTTGTGTTAATTTAACTATTGAGTAGGAAGAAGCAATTACAAGCAGCCTGTTTTCTCTCCAGCTTGTAGATGGAAATTTAAATGGAACTATCCCTTCCGCTGGGATAAAACATTTCAGGGGTTTAGCATAACTAAGAGGATATTGTCTAAGCCATTCCTGTAATATGGCTCCACACAATCATGAACTGCAGCCTATGCTCAGCTTTCCAAAGCAGTGTTAATTCACTGGTGTGTGAATTTCTTACAGAAATTTAAACAAAGGAATAGTCAATTAACGTTCACCTTTTCCTTTTGCTTTATATGATTAGTTTTATTGCAGGATTTTTTGCCCTTTCCCACAGGGAGCATTCTTCCCCTCCATCCCTCCTAGAACAAATGTGTTTCTTTCAGAGCAGGAAGATGACCTTCCTGCAGAAGTGGTCTCGGAGGGCTTAACAATGCTAAGTAATCAAACAGCTGTGTCATCTGTTTGTGAGTGTTAGCTCTTGGCCAGTTTCTGGGATCCTACTTCAACCCTCTTGGGCTGCTCCCATGGCGGGTAAACTGAAATTGGCTGCAGAGGGGCCCCAGGGCATGGCCTTGGTGTTGGGATGCCAGCTGGCAAGACCTGGTCCGTGTTGTCAGCCCCACTGCCACAAGCCCAGGTCACATGTCACAAGATGACATAACTGCATTATCTTGGGCTCTGCTGACTCTACAGCTCCATAGTATGGGAGCAGCACAAAATACCTTTGTTCCTTCCCATTTTCCTGATTTGTGGTCAGATCCACTGCTCATGGTTTTTGTGAAGTAAGCACATGCCATAGAGTAGTGAGGGACACTGGTGAAAAGCCAGTGGGAAGATAATGCTTCTGGGGTAGGTGTCCTGAGTGCCATATTTTGCTTCCTTCTTTTCAGTGTCAGAGTTTCTCATACTAATGCACTGTGGGTGGGATAAGCAGTTACAAAATTAGGGAGAGCAAATCTAGAGCCAGATCTAATGCAAAGAGGCTGTTAGGCTGTGGTATAAATCCTCTTTAGGCTAAATATTTGAAAGAGGTTTTGGCCTGTTGCATTTCCTCTTAACTCATTAGAGGTCACACCTGGGCAAAATACTGCCTTCTGTGAATCAACATATCTCTCACACACAAGCAGACGCTCTGTTTTCTCTGGTCTCCTGTGATTCATAGAAGTAATTCTCTGAGTTTTGTGAGATAAGGCTGACTGTGTCTCAAATGGTTGAGCCCTGGCACTATCACTCAGCTCTGATGGCTGTCAATACTAAGAGCTTCCTCAGCCATCCCATCCACTTGCTGCTCCAGCAAAGAGCCTCCTCTCTGAACAGAACCTCACTCAGACTCATCCCTCATGATTTGGCTTCCCCAGAAATGTCTGCCCAGCCTAAACTCTGTCTCTGCATCATCTGTCTGATCAGGAATTGCTTTTTTCCCTTCTCATTTTCCTTTGCCTTCTGGACTGCCAGCACAGTGAGCTCTGTCTACTGGTAGTGATATCTCTTCTAGACAGACATGTGCTGAAAGCTGCTGTCTGGAACTGCAGAATGAAAAACAGAGCATTTCTTATGGGTACTCAGCTTCTTTGCCAGTGACCCCTGAAGTGAACCTGTTGTGAATCATACTTTCTTCACTAGAAGCTGTTCCCTCACTGCCTACTCTGATACTTTTGCAGGAGAGTTTGGATCAGTTCGAGAGGCACTACTGAAGCTCGATGATGGCTCTTTCCAGAAAGTGGCAGTGAAGATGCTGAAAGGTATGTGGGAGCAGGGCTACCTGAATTACTCAAGAAAAGAGAGCTTGGAAAGATTAAATATTGTCTGTCCTATTCTCAGCAAATATCCCCTGGTGCTCTTTATTTCTCTCTGAGCTTCCCACTCAGCCACTCTGCCCGTGTTGTCTCCCATCCCTTTCATGTCAGTCTTTTTGTAGTGGAAGCTCTTCAGGAAAGGACCTATAGCACCTAGTTGCTTCTACAGCACATAGCACGTGGTGGATGCAACCAAAACCACTCCATCATGTAGCACAGGCAGTTCAGACAGGTCTGCTTTGCCCTGATAATTCAGCAGTGAAAGAACAGTATTCCTGCAAGCACATAGCCTGGAATAAACAGAAGAGTGTCTGGGCTGAATGCAGTGACAAGCTAACTCATCTCAGTCTGCACATTTGACTGAGCAGCCCAGCTCCCTTCTGATTTGCCATTTGGTGAGTGTACATAACAAGGGCAACTAACAGGCAGAAGTCTGTAACAAGAAAAGCAATTAAGAGATAGGTATAAATCAAAGGAAATGTGCATATATCTGTGTTTATATATGTTAACTTACGTTATTTGATCCCTTTTGCCTGTAAGGCAAAAATTAACTGTGACTGACTGAAAGCAAACTCACTTATCTCTGGAGCCCAGTTTGCTGTCACAGAATAACAGCTTGTACTAAATACACTTAGTACCATCTAGTGTAACTTGTATCATTTTATCCAGCTTCAACAATAATTCTAATCAGCTTGCAAGCTTTTGTGTAGTCAGAATGTCTCCCTTCAGGCATCTAACTAAGGAACAATCTGTCAGCCTCCAGAGGCACCTTCCTTTCCTCATTGACTGTAAAAAGGGAATCTCCTTTTGTCTTCTGAATTATATTGAAATTACTTGCCTAAAGTAGATAATGTGAACACTCCCCTACAGGTCTGAGTCTGATCTTGCAGCAGGACTGGAGGACTCTTGCTAAATTCAGCAGCAGCAGTGGTGGGAGTAGTTGACTGGGATACTTCTTGATTATATTGATATATTTCCATAAATCTGGAGTCATAGCAATGAGAAATAATTTACTTCAGAATTTTGCTGATGTACATCACTGCTGAATTTGGCCCAAGCTGTCCAGTAGTGTGGTTATTTAAGAAATCTTAGCTCTAGTGCCTTTCAAGACTCAATCATGCTAAGAGACATAAAGGCATTTATCTTTCATGGCTTCCTTGTCAGAGATTAATTGGGCCCTGTTGTGCCAGTCACAGGCTCTGCCATCTCCTCAGTTTCAACATTTTCTTTCATTTGCATGACGTCTCCTCTCCCTGACATTTGTAGTTTAGGTTCTCTTACCTAATTAATTCTTACATCTTTAACCCTCACACGGTTTGCACAGCTTCCAAGGAAAGTTCTTACTCAGAAAAGAGCTGCTAACCAGTGGATCTTTACCAAGAACCAACTTACCAGATGTCCCTGATATGTGCTTACTGCTGCCCATCCCAGGAGAGAGTGTCAGGCTCTGCTTTGTTGTGAAATGGCTTATCTAGCTATAGATCTGAGGAGATGTGCTGTGCCACAAAGAACAAGCTTTTGACAATCACTATTTGTAATGCACCTTGGAGCCACCTACAAAGAAAGAAAACTCACAGTCCCTTTTTCCAGCTGACATCTTCACCTCTACGGACATTGAGGAGTTCCTGCGAGAGGCTGCCTGCATGAAGGAGTTTGACCACCCTCACGTCACCAAGCTGATCGGTAAGGCAGCACTGCTGCTCGTGCCACAGAGCTCCTCCTGCTCCTGCATGATCCCACACAGCCCCACTCCCCCAGCAGTGCTGCTGCAGCCTCCTCTGTGCTGCCTGGAGTGCTGTGCAGGTCAGCACTGCTCCTTCCCAGGGGCTTGGAGTGTGTGCAATGCTCCCCACGCCTGCCCTCACACACCAGCAACAGCCATCTCCTATTTAAGCTGGTTCTTTGGCTCCTGCAAATGCATCAGGGAGACTTTGGCTGGCTGAGACGTGCCTGAACTGCTGTGAAATGTGAACAGGCGGGCAGGTAGGCTATAAATAGGAGGAAGATTGTGCCTTTCCAAAATACTGAGTAAGAAGCAAGACATTCATGGGTGGACACTTTGGAATGCAGGTATTTTCCATAATGTGGAGATTACTCTGCAGAGCCTGGGATTGGGGCTGTCTGGTCTGGAGTGATCCTAGAAGCATTTACAGTTGGTCCTGCAAGGAGAGCTGAGAGGCTCTAGGCTCTTAGTACAGCCTTTGGAGCAAACAGGGTTAGAGGCATCTTACCACCTGGCACAAAGCCACAGAAGCTTGGAGCATGGAATCTACCCACCAAAACTGCACATTTTTCTCCAGATCTGTAAGAGGAAGGCACAGCAGCCTGTAAGATTCCTCCTGGGAATAATCTATTTGCTAACAGCCCTTTGCTGTGTGTGTCCTCACCAGGAGTCAGCCTACGAAGCCGTCCCAAGGGCCGTCTCCCAATTCCCATGGTGATCCTGCCCTTCATGAAGCATGGAGACCTCCATGCCTTTCTGCTGATGTCAAGGATTGGGGAAAACCCATTTGTAAGTCTGTCTTACTGTAGAATTCCTTCTGGGAGGTTAGGGCTTTTCAGAGAATGTATTTGGAGCAGCTCAGGATTGGTGTCCCAAAGGCACTGGCTGGTGGTTGGATTTTAATACCAGGGGAAGTTGTAAGAAGTGGTCTTAAAGTATTTAATTCCATGCATGCTGGGGACCAGCTCCTCCATCCCATCCCATCCCATCCCATCCTATCCCATCCCATCCCATCCCATCCCATTCCCTCCCCTCCCTGTATTCCCCATCCCTGCTCTGTAAAGTGGCAGCAAACTTTGCATTCTTGTCATATGTGCTTGAAAGCCTTTGGGAATAGAACCTAAACTGTTATTTCTTACAGAACTTGCCTGTTCAGACACTCCTCAAGTTCATGATTGACATTGCCAGTGGGATGGAGTACTTAAGCTCAAAAAATTTCATACACAGGGACCTTGCAGCTCGGAACTGCATGTAAGTGATTAATGAGTTTTTAATGAAAAGAAAGACCAGAGTGGGTGAGGGAGGGATAAAAAACCTTTTGCATGACAGATGTGTCAGGGGTCCTGCCTAAGAATGCTGATGCTTGCATTAAGTGACAACAGACATAGGGGAGCCATAGTCATTGTGGTGGGGTGTGTGGTGGTGCTGCTGGGAGCAGAGAGCAACTCCTAAAGTCCCACTGATCTTTCAAACAGGCCCTTTTTATAATGAACTTTTCTGTCATTGGTTTGCAGATAGAGTTTCACAGAGTTGATTACAGTATGTGTTTGTAATTAGCCACTCCAGTGGTTGTGTGTCAGCAAAGGCTATTTGTTCCACAATGTCAAGCAACCAGCAGGAGGGAATGGGTTTGGCTGTGTTAGGAGAAAAGAACTTCCATTGTATGATGAAGTCTGTATTTCTGGTATCTATTTTGAGGACTTGATTATCACAATATAAGAACTGTAGTTTCCTTGAAAGCTTGTGGAGAATGCCTCTAAAAATATTTGCATGGTGAACACACCATATGATCCCACTTTACTGTTCTTGACACCAAACTACCTTGACTTCTTTGAAGGAAAGAAAAGTCCTTTTTTTATCCTTTCCACTCTGCTTCTTCCCTGAGAATGGAGTATGGAACAGCTCATTGTGACAGCAGTACTCTGCCTCTGAACAAAACCACAACAACCAATAAAATCCACAATGAGACACAGATTTCCAAAGGCGTTTCAATGTCCAGATGTACAGGCAAAGAGCCTGATAGTTATGATGAAAAATGATGGGTTAGCCTGCTTTGGCATTTATGAGAAACCCAGACTGATTTTCTATTTTCGTAGACATCCTCCAGAGGAAGCTGAATGCCTATTTCAGCACATCTTATGGAGAAGCAGTGAGTTCTTTATGAGGCCTGGGAGCATGAAGTTTGTGGCCTTTACTTGGACTGTGTGCCAGCATGTATAGGTTTAAGTGGGTGACAGAGCAATTCAGACCATTAACCAGGCTTGGAGAGATGTTGCAGATCTAGCAGTTCAAGCAGTTTTAACAGGCAGTCTAGGCAATCACCCTATGATTTTTTTGATTTCCAGTATGGGGTGCAGGCCTTGGTGATAGCAGTGAGCATTGCAGATGTCCTCTGATAATCTTGGAAACAGAAGGTATACGAGTTTGCTTTGTGTAAGAGTCTAGACCATCTGAGCCTAGCCACTTCCTTACTTCCTTAGTCATGATTAGTTCCCTGTTAGTCTGAAGGAACTAGTTTGAGACTACTAAGCTATTTCACATTGGTCACCAAGTAGATGAAATCATTCTCCTTCTGTGTAATACTTGGTGAGCTGTATACCTTTTTTTATTTTTTAGTTTTTTGGGGTTTTTTTTGTCTGAGGTAGTCAATAAATGCTTTCCTTTCCTCATCTGTGAAAACTTTCCCATAGGTTGGATGAGAACATGAACGTGAGTGTTGCAGACTTTGGACTTTCTAAGAAAATCTACAGTGGAGACTACTACCGCCAGGGCTGTGCCTCCAAGCTGCCAGTGAAGTGGCTGGCTCTGGAAAGCCTGGCAGATAATCTGTACACAACGCACAGCGATGTGGTGAGGTTTGCTCCAGTGCACTGGGGACCACTTGTATTCCTGCCGGAGTGGAGGAATCCCACTGAGGGTGGGAAAAGGCCCTGGTGATAGGAAAGAGAGTTTACCTTGTGTTTGAAGGATGATGTCAGAACTTAAGGCTAAAAATATATGAGTGTTTAATGGAGAAGACATCAACCCTTTTCTTCTTGTCCTTTTGTCCTTTATTTTTCAGTGTTTATCCCCATCCTCTTCCTCTTTCTCCTTCTCCTCTTCCTTTTCCTCTCTTTATGCAGTTTTCTCTCTCTTATTCTCTCTTATTTTCCTTTCTCTTCTGCCTGACAGTTTGAAGGTGACATTTGAAATGTGTGTGACCCACACACTTAGGCACAAGTGCAGCAAAGGTGCTCTGTGCTGCAGAAGGCATTGGTGGAACTCTGTAGATCTGAATACATCAGTGCTTACACTCCCCATATCTTTGCCCCTGGGGAGCAGGGCTAAACCCATTCATCTGAAATTGTTACTTATTTTCCTTTTGGGATTTTTTTTCTGGTACCATCTTCGCTCTTCCTTGCTGCCTTTTGATCTATTTTCACACTAGTTTTGTCCTTCAGTCCTGTGGTCTTGCCTTTCCAGTTGTACCTGTCACGGTGTCCTTGAAGAGATAACCAAGAGTGCCTTGTAATGTGGCTGCTGTGTTGCCCAGCCATTGCTGCATCCACTATACACTGGGTTTAGTGATTGGTGATCACTAGTTCAGCCAGTTTACAACAAGCATTGGACAGGGGTTTGCTTATAAAAATAATAACTTTTTGCACCTCACAAACCTTGCAGTTGAGTTGAAAAGTACAAGTATGGCTGTGCGGTGTAGAGCAGAAATGAGTGTGAGCCATAAGGGGTTTGTTCTTGCCCTGCTTGTTGGCTAAACTCTGCTTTCCCTTGTGTCTGTACATTACTAGAAACTCAGAATCTGGTGAAATGAATTAAGAAACTGATTTGTGAGCCCCAAACCAAAATATTCTTCTATCTGGGAATCAAAAAATTGATACCACATACCTTAAAGAACATAAGTAGGAAAGGTCTGCAGGTGGTAGACAGGAGTAGCTCCAAATCTTCCCCTGCTCCACTGCAGGATGGGGCTTGACAGGGCTTTCAGTTGTCTCCTAAGATGATGTGCCAGCACCAGAAGCATCTGGTGGGTCATTTCTGTTTTGTAGCTAGAATTTGGATAGTCCTTGCATCACTGCTGCTCAGATGACATTACCCAGCACAGCCTGAGCATACTGAAAGCAAGCCCAGCGAGCAGGGAACGGTCTGTTCACTTGTTCTGTGTGCTGTTCTCTTTCAGTGGGCGTTTGGGGTGACCATGTGGGAGATTGTGACCCGAGGGCAAACCCCTTATGCTGGCATTGAGAATGCAGAAATCTACAACTACCTCATCAGTGGCAACAGGCTGAAGCAGCCCCCGGAGTGCCTGGAAGATGTGTGAGTACTTCCTCACCCTGCTGACATGATTTTTTGAGAAATTTGGCACGCTGGAAGGAAACAGAGGCAGCTGGCTGGGATGCTGATCTGAATCTCTCCACTTTCCAGTACACAGAGCCATTCACTAGAAAGTCCCTGGGTTAGCTACTAGATATTCTTTGCTGGCAGAGCTCCCAGGAACCTGTGGTAACTACACAAGCAGCTAACTTGGCTCAATGGTTTCAACAGGGTCAACATTAGCAGTTCTTGGCTTTGTGGAACTGCAATTGTGTTTCCAGAATCACTGAACCCTGGCTTCTCAGGCCAACATCTGAGCAAAGGGATGAGTTCCATGGCACACCCTGAAAGATGAATAGAGAGGCAGTCTAGCAAGACTACAAGGAAACTGGATTGCAGAGGCAGTGGCCTGCATGTGTCGTTCAAAGCTTGGCCCAGTTTTCAAATTTTGATCTACTACTCTCAGAAATAGCAGGCTGAAAGAGAAGAGAGCAGGTAGGACAAACTAAGGTTGTATAGATCAGTGTCCCACCTTAAATTACATCTAGGAACAAATCCAGGACAATCTTGAAGATTCTGGTTGCAGACATTTTCAGACTTACAGGAAGGACCTAGATAGTCCACAGGGCAGCAGGCAGCCACATGCTGCAGCCTGTGCTCCTGCCTTAATCCTGCTGCCAAGGGTCCACTCGTGGCAGCAGGTCACAGGAAACGTTTGCTCAGGAACCCTTCTTCCACGGGTGGTGGTTGGAGATTCCTGGTGTCCTCACATGGGGCTGGGATCCCCCAGGGAGTGTCACCATAACTTATCCCAAAGTAAAACTTGCCTTGCCTGGACAAGATGAAATCATTTCACTGAGGGCCCAAGCAAGGCTCTGTGTATTGTGCCCAAAGCAAGATATAACTATAAGCACTGATTTTAGTGGTCTTAGACCTCTTTCCTCCCTCTTCCCTCCTGCTGTGATAGTGGATTATTTAATGTAGTTGCTTTCACCTTTTCCTTTTTCCTACATAGGGAATAATCTGTACTCGTGTTACTAAAGGTGAACACTTTCATCTTCTCAGCTGTTCAGTTTTTACTGGATACAAACATAAACAGTTATATCACTGCTTAAATTAATTACACATCATGGCTGCTCTGAGGAGCTTTGGTTCCAAGTTGTGGAGCTCGTGGCTGTAAGATGTTAGAGATGCAGAAAGTAGAGAAGATACTCACAAACCTACTAGATAGGCACTGGAGAAAAATCCATCAAAAACTATTAAAAAAGTACAACCATTCTTTTGTGAGGTGTTTGAGCTACAGGTTATTGAGAACTGAGAGAATATACCAGAAAATTCTCACTACATGCTCACCCTCAGCTACATGCTTTCCCCAAGTGTTGCTACTGGACTTTGTCAGGCACAGGATACTGAGGCAAAGGGACCTTTGAGCTGATTCAGTACAGCCAATCTTTTTCTACCTTTCCTTCAAATGGATTATTCAATGGATAGCAAAGGTAAAAGCAAGTATTTAATTTGGTTGCACAGAATTGGAAGTTTCTGTTTTATCTGCAGCATTTATAGTCGTTTCTACTGTTTGTGAGGGATGTAAATCAGGATTAAGACAACTGAACCATAGAAGCTTTCTGTAAAAGTAGTGTGAGATCAGAAACAGTCTTGTAAGTCTGATCACAAGAAATACAAAAAGTAAAATAAAACCCATCAAGAAATGCTTTATTTCCCAGTAAAGGCCACATCAGATTTTTTTTTTTCCATTTACAAGTTCAACTGAGGTTCATTTGTAAGCAGTGTTTTTCAGTGCCAGCACTGTGCTTTGTTCCCGTTCCCTGCAAAACTGGCAACAATAACAGCATAGGAATGCAGCTGCCAGTCTTGTGGGTGATGCACAAAGAGGAGCAGGACAATGGCTCTGGCCGTGCTCCAGCGCAGCCCTGCGGCCACGGCCCGGCCGGCGGGAGCGCATCCAGCGCCGACACCGAGCTGTGAGCTCAGGGCACTGAGCTCTCTCCCCTGGCCCAAGCACGGGCCTGCAGAGCCAGGGACTGTCTGCTCATGCTGGCCCTGGGGCACCAGAGCTGAGCTAGCTGGCGTTTCACTGTAGGAGGAAGGCTGCAGGATGGGATCTGGTAATGGCCCTGTCTTCTGCTGGAGTGGTGCCTTTGTAGTTGAAGGCCATTTCAGCATCCCTCTTCCAACACTCAAGCGGTTGCCCATTCTTTAACAGCCCTCTAAACAAACCCAGAGTGCTTTTTCCCAGTCTTGTTGACAACCTGTCAGGCAGCAGCAGCAGCAGCACATTTCCGTTACTCTGGGAGCCGAGTTAACATGGCATGAAAGAAAGGATACTCTGGAAATAACATGCACCTCCTGCAATTTGATCTTTGTTTTCTTCCTGTGATTTATCTGCTCTTGAACTAGAATTTGGAGGGACAGCTTCAAGCTGTGGCAGAGGTTGTGAAGGTGCTTTTTGTGTATAAATTCAAAAACTATTACTAGGTGATGGCACACTCAAAGTCCTATTCTAGCTCCCTAGGGACAGCAGAACAAGGGTTTTACCAGGAAATTCAGCATGCTTTCACAGGGCTTTTGGGTTTTTGATACCATCTAAATAACATTTTTGACCAAAGGGAGAATGCCCTTAAAAATGAGAAGAAACAAGAAATTACACCCATAATGGCCATCCATGCTGTATCACCTGTGCAGGGCCAAAGCTGACAGTTTTTTGGGGAAGTGTCTGTGTTTTTTAAGCTTCACTGCCCAGAGCCCCTCTTCAGAGGTGCAGACCATGGCTGCTTCACTTCTCAATGCTCTTGTCTCTCTCTATTTTGCAGCTATGATCTCATGTGCAGATGTTGGCATCCTGAGCCCAAGCTACGGCCCAGCTTTGGAGTACTCCGCTCCCAGCTGGAAATGATTCGCGGGAGGATGTCCACACTCTCTTCCAGTCAAGATCCTCTCTATGTCAACATTGGGAAGGACAAAGAGGCATCTGCAAGTGAGCCTGCCCTGCATGCCTCCTTTGGAAACATGGATGCTGAGGAGACTGTTGCTGGGGCAGCTGCTGCTGTCACAAGTGACTATCGCTATATCATGAGCCCCTTGTGCCTTGGAGATGATGCTGAGGGTGAAAGGCATCCAGATGGACAAGAAGGGGAGGACAAAAGCCTTCTGTATGAGCTAGAGACAGAAGGAGAGAAGAGTTGCTAGCCTGTACATAGCAGTGACACCCTGCTTCCCTGGGACTGGATGTGCGCAGCGTGGTGCTGTCTCCTGGGGCTCTGATGCCGGATCTGGAAGAGCTTTGAACAGCACTGGCCAGGGCTCTTGGTCAGCTTCTGTAGCTTTCACCACCTGTGTGGGCTGCAGTGGCAAGTAGCTTGGAAGAACTGCAACCCCAACAACCCCTTGGATATAGGGAGGGAGGCAGTAGGGTTACAGGTTGACCACATCCTGCTGAAAGGAGTTCAGAGCTAAGGCAGCAGTTGGAGTCTGTGCTCTGCTTGTTCTCACTGAGTGCTGGAGCAGAGCTGAATACACCTTCTGTTCAGTCAGTGCTTGCTCTTGTGTAGATGTTGTCTTCAATCCTGGCTGCGTGACTTTGGGACTGGTACCCCTGAAAACTCTGGTGGGTGTTTATATTGTCATTCAGGACAAGAGGGCAAAAATCCCCTCGTGCTCACTCAACAGTACTGCCTAGACTTGTTGCCTACCTCAGTGGTTCTCAAACTGATCAGCAGATCTGCTCCTACCCAGCACTGAATTTGAACATCTGGCTCATTTCATGCGGTGACATTTGCTGCTTCCTCAGTCCAGGGCTCTTTTAAGAGTTTCAGACATTTTGGTGAGCAAAGAGATTAGAAAGAAAAATGAAAATCCAGCATTCCTCTTCTCCCCATGTATCTTTTTTTTATGTCTTTCTTTTTCTTCTGTTTGATGCCAGTTCAGGCCTGACTAGACTTGCAGCTGACATTAAAATGCAAAGGGAGGGAGAGCAGCTGGCTTGTGTGAGGGCAGAATCCAACTTCAAAGGAATGGAAAGGAAGCAGTGTAGAGAGGACTTTACAGCAGTATGGGGAAACAGTGTTAATTAATGCTAAGTGCTGCCCTCCAGGAGAGGAAGAAGACTGAGATACAGAATGATGACTTGCTCAGTTTCAGCAGGAGCGGGATTCAGCATTTGCTTCAAAGTTGGATTATTTCTATCATTCTCTTTATTAGCCCTATATCTTCTTCAAATAATGAAGAACTGTAGCTGCTACAGTGACATGTGAAATCAATTTCAGGAAGATGTGTGTTGAGGGGAGGGATCAACTGGAAGATTTCTTTCTGAAGAGAGAGGCCTCGTGATGAAAAAGCTTGAGAACCACTGGCCTTCCTATTTAGGAGGCTTTTTGGCATGCTGTAAAAGTCACATAAAACGTGGAATAGTATCACTGCAGCCTTCCAGACAGGGCAAAATTAATGGGTTTGCTCTTTGGGTTTTGTTTTGTTTTCCAATCAGCATGTCTGACTCACTGTAACTGCAAGTGCTTGTGTGGTTTTTAATAATTTAATATTTTACTGTAAATCAGCATTTGTTTTGTGCAGTGGTTCCCAGCCAGGAAGTGCAGTTACATCTTACTCTACTTATCCTAAATATTTGCTAGATCTTAATTTCTTTTATTTTCACTGCGCTGAAAACTTGGCAGTATTTCTTAGGATTCCACATTGCACTTCCTCAAACTAATACCACAAATGTCAGCATTTACTGAGTTGGCAAAGGTGGGACTAAAAAGTCAAATGAGATTGCAGACTTGGTATCAGAACAATCCACCCTTCAATACCCAGTATTTGCTTATTGTAAAGTCGGGGTCTAAATATAAAATTCAAGTCAAGCTTCAGCCCTTATGAGAACTCTTCCTAGGGAAGGGGAATTTCAGCCTGAGACTTGAGCATGGGCCCTTTCTGTTAAGTTTCCGACTGAACAGAGTTGTGCCAGAGGTGTCTCCAGAAATTCAGTATGGTTTCTCAGTCACAGATACAAATGCATCTTACAACCCAGGCAGTACAGGGTTTTCTCTTCTCTTAGCTGGAATGCTGTAAATGCAGGTGAGAAGATAACACCTAACAAAGGGTAACAAAAACCTGTGCAGTGCACTTTTGCAGTGAGGGCAGAAGGCTATGCTCCCTGCAGCTGCCTAGGAAGCGCAGATGTACATATAGTCTCTAACTCTGGGAAGCATGTCTTTAGTTTTTATGCATTTTTTAATAATAAAACCTGTACTGTGTTTGAGTCCCAGCCTCTTAACTGTAGCAGAATGTGTGATGATGCTCACTAACTGTGTGGGGTCATAGTCAGCCCAGCAGAAAGTCATCTTTCTTCCTTCACCAAGCATGACTGAGCTGCTTCTTGGGGGCAGAGAACACGTTTGGCCTGCCCAGGTTGCAGTTACCCTGCGTTGTTCCAGCCTTGAGATTGTGAAGGCCAACATCTGATGGGCAGGAGCCAATTGTTCCAAGCAGAGAGGCTCTGCAGCCACCCCTTTGCAGGAACCTCGGGAAGAGCCCTTTCTGGGACGTGGTGCTTCCCACCCAGGAATGCAGGACCTGTGCATCAGTTGCTCCGTGAAAATTGTCACGTGCACCCATCCAGCTACTGGCAGTGCTCTCGGTGGAAAAGAGGTTTGGAGGAGGTGGGTAGAATTCAGCTCCTGACTCAAGTGTTCCAAGCACAACATAAAAGAGCCCCTGGATTTCCAACTTGCAGAGAAGAAAAGGCATACCTCACGCTTTTATTCTTCACAAGCAAGCAGCACGCTGCACGCCCTCTGCCTGCAGCTCACACAGAGAGGAAGAGTGATGGGAAACGACACAAGCACTCACCCCCCATCTGCAATGCAGGAAAAACGATTTCCAAAGCATGAAGCAGCTGATTTAGTTAATATTTTAAGTTTCCAGTGCCCAGTTATGTCCCTTAGATCTGTTTCAAATGATGATTTAATCCTTTTGCATAAAAGCTTGGAGACCAGGTATAAATGAGGCTGTATTGTGGGTGGGAGAGGCAACACCAGAAGAACTAGTGAAAAAAGAGGGAGGGAAGGAGATTTTAAAATGGGGACAGATGGGATGAGCTGTCAAGAGGGAGTCAGAGAGCAGAAATGTGAAATGTTATATATGACATACCAGAACAGAGATGGCATTGCCTCAGCTGGGACCAAGCAGGTGTCTGAGGTGGGGGCTGGCTGTGTGTTTTGGTAAAGGATGAGGTGCTCTCTCTGGTCCAGCCCAGGTGCCCTGCAGTACTTTGCTCTCAAATCACAAAGAGGCTGTACAGAGCTGGCTTGGCCCTGCATCTGCTTGGAGACAGCACTGTGATCCTGACCCCAGGGAAGCTCCAGCCTAACAGCTCTAATTTAGGCACTAGCCTGGCACACTGTTTTCCTAATTAAACAAAGTGTTTCTCCCACAGCCACCCTCTTTTTCCAGCACCCAGTACAACAGCGCAGTCCCTCCCATCTTCCCAAGCAGCAGCCCTTGCCCAGTGTACTGGGTATGTCCAACATGTGCACGTTTATGCTGAATCAACTTCTGTCCCATATGGATAAGCCTGACCATGCTCCTTCATCCACATCTCCCTGAGACAGGGTCTCCTTCTTTATAACAGCGGCTCTGGCCACAGGGGCAGTTACCAGCTAGGTTGTGAGGCAGCATGACTGCACAGCACCTAGCAAGAGCGCAGCAGAAGCTCACAGCACTGCCTGTGTTGCATAGGAGTAGTTAGTGCAGGAGGAGACATGCCCCTGTCCCCTCCAGTGCCAGGGCTGGCTGGTGAGCCTCAGCTGGGCCGTGCTGGCAGCTCAGCCTGCAGATCTGGGGATGCTGCAGCCTGATCCAGTACCTGCTCAGTGTGGGCAATGGTGTGCTCAGGGCTGGCAGCTCAGCAGATGCTTGCGGCGAGTGCATGGATATTCCTGGGAGCTGCTGCACAGCTACACTGGAACCAGCCACCTTCCTCTTCACCCGTGCTTGGAGGGAAGTGTTGAAGTCTTGACTCTGTAAAAACACTCCCTAGAAGTGAAATGCAATTAATTTTGAGTAAAAATCTGAGTCTCGCTGACCAGTGAAAGGAACGATATTTGCACATATTTTCCTGATTTCATTCTACACATTGCTGGTGGTATTCATCCTCTCCTGATGCTCAGTAATCACCAACTTTTGCAAATTCTCTTACTTTTTACCAGGGATTTCTGTGAGGAACCCTCATAGACAGTCCTAATTTTACACTGATTTGTTACTTCATACCTGCTGCATTCCCTTAAAATAGCAAGTTGTTCTACAAACACTGGATTCCTGTGGATTTGGATCCAATGGGTGATTGCAACTCCTGGGTGAATCTTGCCCCTAGTAAGGTTCTTACAAGAACCTTTTCCCTTGGTGGAGTTTCTGGCATCCAATACTCATTGAATTTCCATCTGCAGTGAAGGAACTGATGTGGAAGTAATAGGGTCTGCCACATGCAGACTTTTTTCAGAAAACGTATAGGAACTTAATTTCCTTCAGACCTCAATCTTGCCATCGCATTTGGCCAAAATAAAGCAGTGGATTCAAAAGCTATTAGGGCCAACACGTGCAGCTGGTGATCAGAGGCCTTGTTACCATGGGAAACAGAGCTAGAAATCAATTACTTAGTCCAAGAACTGAAAAGACTGATGGACATGGGTTTTGATTGCGTTTTCTGTCATATAAAGGGAATTCAGTGTCAGTATGAATCAGACCTCAGTCACTGCACTGAGGTCTGGCAACAACAAAGATGATTGACTCCTCACTTCCTAATTACTCCATGAATCCTCCAGTTTGAGGCATGCCAAGCCAAGTCACTCCCAACTGCAGTTAGATGAAACAGACCATCTTTTGGCTATATTTGGCAGTAGGACTGAAATTAGGGAACAGGTATTTCAGCAGCACAGAAAATATCTAAACAGCTTTTGTTTCCTCCAGTTTCTTTTCACTGGCTTGAAATACATTTGAAAGAAATGTGAGACCCCAGGAGATAGATGGCACTTGTTGATTTAAGCTTTGCTCAGTTCAGTATAGATTTTGTAGAACTGGACTAGTTTCCAGAAGAGTCTATAGGAGCTGGCTCTTGCCAGCATGTGGTGTAAGGAAGCACAAATTCGTGACAAGGAAAGAGGGCTTGCATGCATAAATGATCCAGTTGGAGTACAGGGTATTGCAGCACATACTGATAACCATGCAGTGCCAGTAAAGGTGACAGAAAAGGGGGAGCTGACAGAAATGATGGGTCACTGGAGAGCAGCAGGCTGCACACTGCAACATGGC